GCAGAGGAGCGTGGTGTCCCGAAGATCGTTTGAGAGCAACATGGATCGGAGGGCTGATCATTGTCCCGTTGTCTATTGGGGCGTCAGGGCTGATCACAACGTATATCGGGGGGCCGATCGGCCTCGCGCTGAATATATTATGCCTCTATGCGAATGGAGTGGGGGTAAGTCCTGCCGGCTATTCCCCTCACCCCGTACATAATGCAATTCATCAATTTTATAGGTCGATTCAGTAACGAATCCTGTCAACTCATATAACGTGGACGTGGTACATTCTCGAAGTGCTGAGGCCACAGCTGCTTGCTTGTCAGTCTCTATGATATTGTGTGACTATCAAACCTAAACGCGTCCATGTACCTGTTAGAGCGAGCTGGTCGCTCATTCTGTCTGCTTCCTCTGCTCTTATCATTCCATCGATCGAGCGTATAGGCGTTGCATGGACGAACACCATCGCAGCTGTCTTTGCGGTCATTGGACAAGGGTGAGGGTCTTTTTGGCCACAAGACCGGTGATACTGACATAGTAATGCTTCAAAATTTCTTTCGTAGGATCATCTTCTTGACAATTCGTTATGGCGATCGCATGAGGGCGAGCATAGATGTTGGTTTCTCAACAATAGAGAATAACTGACAGGTTTATCTGGAGGGAGGCAATATGTATTATAATCAATACTAGATTGTCCCACCAGTCCGTGTGTCCCAAGAATTCACGCATTGACTCTAGCACACGCATTGTATTTTCGATGTCAGGCTATCGAACTGTCAAAGAATTTTTTTTTTTATGTTTGTGCGTTGTGGAGTAATAGACATTGCCCCCAAAATGTGCGAACTCTGGTGGACATCTAGTATGGATCAAGCTCAAGTGGTGTGCACATGGCGTCGACCCCAACTGGAAATCGCTCCGTTCTTACAATATGTAGATAAGCAGTACTAGTATACTAGTGTCTGTTGGGACTATTGGCTATTAATGTTCTCCAGTTTTGATCCAGACCTCAACACAGTCCTCCGAAGAAGGAAATGCTCCCCAACCTTCATGGTCAATTGCAACAGTTCGAGTGTCATCAAACAAGCTGTGGAACGTTGATCCTTGGTGCTAGAGAACACAAGAGATAAGCAGATACGTATAGCTACAATTTATAATGGACACATACTAGGCCAACGTTCATTCGAACTTTGGACGTAGTTAGGTCCAGCCTCGAGGAAGCGATCAACAGATGAGCATGTGTAAAAGACACGAAGAAACTCACATCGGGTCATTACTAAGCACAACTACACACCCAGCATGATCGGAATCGCCCATGCGCACGAACCCAATACAGTTTCTGTGTTCGAAGTAATCTACCATAGGTCCATATGCGAACGATTTCCGTGCAAGGAGTAACTTTTTCAGAATGCGAGAGGTGCCCTCGTCAAAGCACTCATCATTGGGATACAGGTCACCATAGAAAACACATCTGCCATGACATTCGTGTTAGGGCCGATGTTTCAGCAAGATGGCACATACGGATATCCGTGACATCGCAGTAGGATGAGGGCGTACGCTTGAGCTTTGAAGTTGGTGTCCACCTAATTGAAATTGATCGAAAGCTACCAAAACAGAAGTGCGAACGGCTTACCCAGCTCTCCAGAGACTGGCCAATTTGCTGGAACAATCATTGGCTAAATTCTTTGCGGTCATCAAACGCTTGCTTACCGTGCTATCACAAGAAACAGCTACTCATGGAACAGTAGATATCTGGTGCCAGCACTCACTCGTGATTGTCAACGAAAGTGACAGCATCTCCTGGCCTCAATTTTACCAGGGAACCTTCAAAAATGGTCCTCAGGTCGTATGAAGCACCTGCTTCGCTTGCTCTATGAAAGTTCTCGTGCAGTGGAACATCGAAAAAGGAGGTCTGTTGCCATTAACCCCGAGTCAATGATGTCATTGGATGCGCACCTGGCCATGAAACGCCCGAATATATGGGGTTATAGATTGCAAGCTGCTCTCGTTCAGGGGCCTGTATATCACGGAATCCAGGATGGACCTACTTCGCTGACCAGTACTCTGATACCGCAAACAATCGCTTCCTGCCTGGGTGGTTCCGAGTTCTTTTGATCTTCAATAGTAAAGCGGCTCCGTCACAAGATGAAGCAAATAAAGACGAAACACCCCCTTACAAACTCAAGAAGGAACCTGCGATCCATGTGTTTGATGGCATCCAGTCTGAACCCGGAGGCGCCTGTGGTCTAGAACGATTTCAGAAAATCATGTAAGAAATTATGGAGACAAGACGTACGTCAAGGATCCACGAGCCCCACGAAAATAGATCATCTCGTACTTCAGGGTGACGGTGGTCAATCTATAGTTCCCGGATAAATGATTAGAATGAGCTCTTTAACGAAAAGCCACCACGAACATCGATGCCCAGGAGATAATCATAATTCCCATTCTCAGTGTCCACCCACCTTGACCAACCTTTGTGTATTTCTGAAGAAATGCGAAATATACCCTTGGTTTGCGCGAGCTCATCCCAGTCCAACCCTTCAATAATTTCAGTCATAAAAGCAAAGAGGTCCAATACGGACTGACCCGTAAAATGATTAAAATTCCACCGCATGCTGCTATACTGGATTGTATGTTTATCTCTAGTCAATGAAATTATAATGTATTGTATTACCTTCTCAAGCCGTCCAGGAAAATCAAATGCAGTCCAGCCCTGCGGATGATATTAAAAAGGTCTTCAAAGCAGGGGAGGGGAATCATACTTTGATTGGTCTCTCGTTCTCGATATCCCGCAACCGATTTAATGGATCGACGCGTACAGCACGAAAGGCCTCTGCTCTGTCTGCACCGAGTTTGTGCTTATGTACCGTGGTGCACGACTGAGTTTGAGCATGGATTCATGAGATATAGCTGATATCCTTACATTGAGAACTGCATCGATGATAACGTTCATATTGCATTGCCTTGCAGCATTACAAGCTCTCAAAAGGTCTTCCTTTGTTCCCCACCTCGTAGCAACGGAGCCTTTCTGGTCGAATTCGCCAAGATCCCACTACACAAACATCTGAATGAGTGTTGAAACAAACGTTACGGAACATCGTACCAAGTCATAAGCATCATATCCGCGGCCCGTCTACAGTAATCATAGTACAGTGGGATTGTGAACATATTATCAGAACTGCTGACTCTCACCTGTTCCATTGCTTTGTTCGGCGGAGGGAGCCAGATCTGTGTGAACCCCAATACAGCCAAGTGCGGGGCTTCTTTCGCAAGATGTTTCCACCAGCTCATGTCTGGGTGCCGGGCATCCCAGGTGAAAAATTGTAACTTGAAGGATCCATTTTTAATAGGCATTTCGGAATGCAAATTGCAACTGACAACTCACCATCGTAGGATTCTGAGAGCTTCCATGAAGCCCAAGTTGCATTGCTGGGAGAGATGGAGGCACCCATTTGAGTAGCAGGCAATCCAACCAATACCTGAGCTGGCGGTAGATGTGGCTCATCGAAAAGCGCACAGAGTGCATGACATCAATTAGCTGTCCTGCTGTCTGCATCTTGAACAGGCGCTAACTTTGGCAACGGTAACTCAGTACGTCGAGAAATTTACGCCTCGGCTTGCCACCTACTAGACTATTAACCAGTCTTTAGTACTACGTCTGAGGCTGGTCACGAGACTTGTCACCGGCATCTTCCGAGGCCTATAAATCTCTTCGAAGCTCTGCTCAAAAATTTTCACCGTTTACATGACCACCTCTCACCACTCATTCCAGGAAGCGTTCCGCTCACCGATGGAATGAGGGCACCGTGTGTATCTATCACAGGATGGTCTATAGAGGAAAGCCTCTTTAATCACTCTAATCACGAATCTTTACGTTGAGAGGAGTTTCATGATGTGGCGACAAGTTTCCCTTCCCTTTGGCCTCATTCCCACTTTACTATTGTCATTACTGCATTATAAATGTATGTGACTCTTCTCTGGGCCAGAGCGGGTGCCAGCTGGTCGAAAAAATCTATGCGTGGTTACTTCAATGCTTGAATTTATTTATGAGAAGCACATTAAGTGTTGGTGTCGTGGCCCTGTGGGCGAAGTTCAAGGGTTTTTTCAAACTTGTGACTCAAAGTCTCAAACATCACTTTATTGCGACGGAGTGGGACGCACAGGCGGTGATCGCGAGACGGATTATGTTCACATCGATATCTATTGCTGTCATCTTTCCGGCACTAGTTTGTTGCTTCTGCATTGTTAAACAGGCGTGTTCGTCTTCGGCGACTTCAGCTCTCAGATCGATGCACTATCAGTCCATCGCCATTCATTGGCACGTCAATTCAGCGCAAACCCGATGTATGACCTTCTCCATGGATGGCAAGCATATCCTCAGCGGCCTTGCGTGCTGCACGACCTGCCCCCCCAGTGTTGAATAATTGCGGTGTAAAAGTTGCTGACGCTGATTATTCTTCTGACAGGGCTTCAAGAATCAACGTACAATCGAGGTCATCTTATGAAGGCTTACTTGCCCATCTTTTGGAACAACCTTTGTTATTCAGTACGGAATTGGCAGGGCGAATTCACATAGAAGCTCCTGGGCTCAGAGTTTGAGTCATGAACCGCAGGCGCGACCAGCTGAGGATTTCACAATCGAGGTCTTGAAGAGACATTGCCGTCACGGTAGTTCAGTGACAATTTGGTGTATGGATGCCTCAGATCATGAGTACTCATGAGTTCTAGTGTTGTCGGCAGATCGCTAACGTTCTAATTCCCTTCGCCATGGAAGAGCCTGGCAGTGGCAGAAATCCAACAGACGCCGGGGCCAAAATCGTTCTACCATGGCAGATCCTTATGTGCCAGGTTCTGGCAGTTCTCGCGATAAAATTCTCCACCAACAGTGCTTCGTGCACTGATACTCGGATTCATGACTAACGCATAATTCTCCATATAAAAATTTGGACATTTGGTTCCCAAATTCCTACAACCATAACTAATTTCGCTACTCCAGCACAAGAAAAAAGCTCAACGTCGCACTAATAACCAGCATAGCCGAAGGTATCGGACGCGATATTGCCCTGCGGCTTGTAGAGGACGGACTTGACATCGCCATCACAGACTTGAAATCACAGTGCACGAAGCTCGACGTCGCGGACGAGATGGAGGCGCAAGGGAGGCGGTGCGTTGGCTTGGAATATGATGTGTCACCAGAGGGGGTCCAGTACATGGTGCAGACTACGGAGAAAGAGTTCAACGGTTTGGACGTGGTGGGTGCCTCGTTAGCTGCAAACATGCCATTAACGGTGTTCTATAGTAGCGAATCCCGGTCAGATCATTGTGAAGTCTGTGGTTGACTGTAAACCAGCCCCGTCTTTGATACGCTTTTATGGTGACCGTCATACCCCTAAAGCTACACTCGTCAACTTCGATTGAATCTTCAACGTCCATGCGCGCGGGGTGTTCCTGTGTTTGCAACCAAGGTTATGATAGAGCAGAGGCATTGCGGCAGGCACGACCCTTGGTTCTTTTGTATTTAGATGATAGTATCCTTCCTTGTCATAGGTGCTTTGGTGCTTTGTTAGTATGAGGGAAGAAAGGGATGCCGTTGACCAGCGTTTGCTGTGCATCGAAATCTACCATTCAATCATTCACCCAGGTGCTCGGTGTGTAGTCATGAGGTTTCATTACTTCATCTCTCATTTTACTGTTCTTATGTTTCAGCGAGTGAAATTGGATCACAAGGCATCACCGTAAACGCCTATGCCGCACCTGAGCGCTGAGCGGTCGATACGTGTCTCTGTAAGTCATACTGCATCATATTATTTTCTGTTACCATAGTCTCCCTACCTCCCATCCATCACCCATCTCTTCGTTAGTTTATGCATCCAGATACTGATACGGTCTGCAGTGCAAGACTCCGCCGGGGCATTCGCGAAACAGTTTGGGTTTCCTGATGGCAAGACATTCATTTATCAGGATGTATGTATCAGCATTCCTCTCGTGAGGTGAGCTTTCCCACTCCTTTCAGTCGCTTTACAGTAACAAACAAACGCGGGAATGGTATCGTTCCTCGCCACAAAAGACTCCGTTTATATTACTAGCAAGACGATCACAATTGATGGCGGAACATGGATGAATATTAATATCATGTACTTCTGGCTGTGAGAACTGCAGCAATGTAACTTGTTTGCAAAACATCTTTGAATCCAAAAGTGAAACTGTTGAAATGATCATATCTTCACTTGCCTTCCTACAGCGCGCCGTTTGCGGGTTCATAAGCACATTTCGGGCCCTTACAGCTGTGACCAGCGACTCGCCAGTCACCAGGATTCAAGATCAAACATGACGTTCATCGATCACATCAAAGACACCAGTCAGCTGCCGTGTATCCACATGGGACAAACTTCATCCGCGAGTTTTGGTGAAACTTGGTCCTGTGCTTGATGGATGTAATCGTCGCGGCGCATCTTTCACAGGCGACAGCTCGGTAGGGATTCCTAGGCCGAGTTCACCCTGCGGGTGATTGAACCCCAAAGTTTCAGCGGACCATCAACTGGAGAAACGTGTAACGCACCTGGTCCCAGTGAAACACCGGAGGCTGTTGTTGTGTAGAAGGGAAGATGCCTACATTGAGCTTCCGTTTCTTCTTCTTAGGTGCCGGATCTTGGTCGTCTTCTGCAACACTATCTGCAACAGCAGCAGATTTTGATGTCTTTGTTCGCAACGACTCCGCAGCTTTCTTCTGGTTCTTGGCTTCAGATTCAAGAGCACGTTTCTTTGGTACCTTCTCATTTGACGCGGAGGCGGCCTTTTTTGCTCGTGCATGCTTTGCTTTCTCTGCTGCAGGTTTTTCATCGGCACTGTCTTCCTGATGAGCCTTTCGTTTACCTTTCGCTTTGGCGGAAGGTTCGATGACTTCAATGTCACTGTCAACTGGCTTCGGGCGCTTGACTGGTTTAGGTCTGGGTTTGGGTTTCGGGCGAGTTTGATCAGCCTCCTCCTCTGATACCAAAAGGATAGGAGGAGACGTCATGTTGCTCTGAATTATCGTGCGTTGAGATATGGTATAGGCACATGAAAGTTTCCCCCACCTTTGGAGCAGCGGATGTTTTGAGTGCAGCAGTTAGCTGAGCCTTCAAGTCTGATATCTCTTGCTCAAGTTTTTCTGCCGCCTTTTTCGCATCTGTAGCTTCATCATCAGCCTGTTTTCGGAGGGTGCTCTGCTCTCCGGCTTCGGTCTATAAACAATCAATCGCTTGAATATACAGCGTAACAGCTGGAGGAAAATCTGACCTTCCACTCATGGAGGACTTCCTTAAGTTTAGTGGTGCGACCTTTCTCCTTCTCGAGTGCTTTATCACGTTCTTGGATCACTGCATTCACTTCCCTTAATTGAGCCTCTAACTCGACGTTCTTCTTCCGCGATATCTCCAGATCTGCATCATCACCTTTCTTCAAGCCTTGCCAATTGTCAAGTTGACGTTGCAACTTAGCATTATTATCCCTGTGATCCTCAAGCTCTCGCTCGAGTTGAGTCACCCTTGCTTGTAGACCATCACGTTGCACAGTTATCCGGGAAAGTTTGGACACATTTGTAACACTCGTTGCGTCTGCGTCTGCTTGGGCTTCTCGTAGTCGACGCAGTTCGTCCTATACTAAGTTAGACCATCGGTCATGGTTGGCACTGAAGGAACAGACCTCGACATCTTCGCGTTGCTTGTGAGCTGCTACAATTTCGTCCGACTTCAGCTTCAACTCGGATGAAAGCGTCGCGTCTCTTGTTTGTAAGTCGAGGATGGTCTTATGGTACTGTTGATCACGAGATTTAAGCAAAGACTCTGTTTCAGCCACTCGAGAGTCGAGATCTGCCTGAAGGTCCTCCAATTGACTCTCCAATTCTGCCTCCCTAGCCTGGAACATGGTTATCTTGTAATCCCTTTGTATACGTGCAAGCCTCTCGCGCCGTGCAATTGCGCGCTCCTTGAGCACTGCGATTCGTTCGTCGTCCAGAGCGTATGCCGTTTTGAGATGAGCAATCCTATGGCACGCCTGTAAAGCATCGCAACCAGCGTGCCACTCCTTTTGCTCTGCTTGCCATTGTTGTTTAATGACATTGACAGTGTCCTTGGCGCGAGTTTGTTCAAGACTGAATTCATCGTTCAGCTTCTTGATGGTGTGTTCCAAATTCCGAGTCTTCTGCACTAGGTTCTCTATGTGACCTTTCTGTGATGCGACCATCGCGTCGTGTGGAGCGAAGGGAGCCGCTGTTCGCACCGGAGTTGGCGCCCTCTTCAAATTGGGTTGCGGCATCACTGTGTGTGCGCTACATTAGATCGAAATGACGCGTTTAAGGAGAAACGTTCCAACCAATACTCGTGAACGAGTGCCAGATAATGATGATTATTTAAGAAGTTCGTGGTCACTGCTGAAGTAAAGGAATTGTCGCCTAAAACTTTAAAGTCAGTTACAGTAGTAGTTTGATTGTATTACTTATAGTCAACACGTGATATTCTTCATCGCGCCATCATCGTCAACTCGACGCTTTGTCTTTGCTCCGGCTTACGAGTGCCATAGACTTCCGGTAGGCATTGGGTCGTCTGTGGAAAGTTTGCGGGAGTATACTTTTTATCATGTTGGAACGGGACTCCGGTTCTCACTCGCAGCGAACATTTGAAGGATGCGCGCGTGCGCCGCGACTCTGTGTCGTCAATGCTTCAAATGCATGTCCTATGATGACGATGGGGCCGTGCTTCTTGCGAGGATAGCATTTTTGACAGCTAGGTTTACGCCCTTTGGAACGGTTATTGAACTAATATTGCAGAATCAAATTGGAGCAGATTGCAACTGTATTGGGCTCTGCCCTACAGCTCCGCGCGCGTTAATACTATGGAGAATCACAATAATATTTTTCGCAACACGCCTGCATTGCAAACTTAAATTCTAACCGCTCGTGTATGACGTCGGCAAAATCAAAGTCTGCGCACTCGACGAGCAAGTTCAAGTTTTGGATCAGTACTTGCCACAGCCCATCTGATAGCATCTGTTTCGGTTATTGCTTTCAAAAGGGTTAAAACATCGTCGGAAATTGGGTGTGAAGTCTCCGGGCATAATTGCAATGATCTGCATGAACTCAACGATCGCTCCTCAGTCGTGTCATGTAGTCCCGGTACGTCCTAGAGTATAAGTACACGGTACAACCTATTAATATTTCAGCCATTCTCTCACCAATTTTCTTTCTGCAGGTTTTCACAATGACAAAGAACAACCTGTCCACATCCACCCTCGATGACAAAGTACCTCCTTTTGTTTTGATATGCTTTTACGTCCTAATTTTTTAATGTCGAATATAGCTTCTAGCAAGCATCCGTCAGTCCATTGCCGATTTTTTTCAGCGTTGCGGCTTGCATTATAAGAATGTCACACTTGACAAAGCTTGGTACTCCGAATGCTCTCAGGAGGCCATCAAGCGCGGCTATCCGATGGACGCCATCCTCCCATACATGGCCTTTGGCGTGGCCATGATGTCCAATGCTTACGGCCACCTCCTGGATCGTGCAACCAAGATATGGTTGTGCCTTTTCACCGCCGTAGGCATCTGCACAGAAGACCTGATGATGAGGGCAGAACATATAGTGCATGTGTACCGTTTCAACGAGCGGTTCGCGAACTACCAGCCACAGGGGCACCCGGTCATGACTGCACTTGATGAACTCTTGCGGGAGGCCACTTGCCATTATTCTTCGCCGGTGTCAAATTTGATCGTCACGTCCGCGCTCGACTTCGTGTCTTCTAATTTACTTGACAATGAGACCAAATATATGCCGGTACGGTACTTTTCAATAAAGGCAGCTTCGATCTTTAACCCTTTGTGTGAACAGATCTCGCCGCAGACTCCCTCATACCCCGAGTATTCTAGGATGCTATCAGGTGCAACGAATGCGTACGGATTCTTCATTTTCCCATCCACACTCCCGCTTCGGGAATACGTTCAATGCATGCCAGATCTAGCCATAGTCATAAACTACACAAAGTAACTGCTACATCAATGATTTTTTGTTAACCTTTCTAACTTGCCATAATTCAGTGATATATTGTCATACTACAAAGAAGAGATCGAAGGTGAATCAACAAACTACTTGTCGCTCGTAGCAGCCTCTCGTGCTCTTACCAAACAGGACGCCCTCCGTGAACTCATCGAGAAAACTGTGCAAGCACATAACAATGCCCTCGAATTCCTGAAGCCACGTCCTGAGGCATATAACGCCTATGTCGCGTTTTTCGATGGGTATATCAAATTCCATACTTCCTTCGGAAGATACAAGCTGGAGGAGATCATGTCTGAGAAGTCGTCTTCTTTATGAATACATTTTCTTATCGTACTTGTCAACTTTTCTGTATGTTGATCACATCTTGAAGTAGAGTGCTGACTATCATGTTTACCACTTGCAGTAATCCGTCTCTATATCTGCCAGGCACCATTAGATTGCCTGTCCCTTGAGCTTTTTTTGCTCCCGCCAGTTTCGAGCGGTTTTATGAGAAGGTGTACGTTTTTTCCAATGTACTTGCCTCCGGGTTAATTCAATGACCACGTATTAGTCAATGTCGTGCAAACTAGTTTATTGACCTGACAAGGAATAAGAAGGTGATACCATACTTATGGCACTTAGGATTCGATCCGAGATTCAATTGTTACTTTTCCTATGCGATTGAACAGTATGCGAGCCAACCGCGAGCAGCGAAGTCCCCGACTCTACGAAGTGGGATCAGTGCACCTGAAATGATCCCCCTTTTTTGACAAGGTTCAGGCGTTCTCTCATCACGCCAGGTTGGGTTGCATAACATCCATATCCCCCCGTCTCTGTTGTAAGTCATCTCCTGTAGTTGTCGCATTTTTTCTCATTGTTTCCTTAGATCTCTCGTAATCGCATCGACGATTTTGCCAAGCGCACTTGATGACTAGGCGCTTTGCTGTAAGCACGCTGGGGTTCCCATAATCAGTACATATACTATCGCTGATGCTGAAATTTGAAAGCTAAGCGCTAAGCTTTCCTTTTGGTGTAACGGTTATACTGTTAGTATGCGCGGGTGACGGTCTGACCAAGTCACATTTGTCCATCAGCTCAGCGCGATTCTTTCAGACATGCGTTCGTCTCATATACCCACATTAAGCGCTCATTCTGTCTGGTTTGCTCATATGCCTTCGTGTCATGCAGATAACCTAAGTGGACTGTCGGCTCCCACTCTCCCCACTACTGCCCAAGCGCCCCAGCTGCCACCGATCCTCTGCACGCGTCAAGAAAGAGATGGAGGTGACTGACAATAATATTACAGTGCATGTAAATAGAGGATGTGGAACAGGCCGGATTGTCAAATGTAAGAACGTATATTACCTGTAACTTAGGGCGGACTAAAGCCAACGAGATTTTTATCACTGAATGGATGGCGTTAACCGGAAGGCCGTCACGGTTCCCGTGTGAACATGACGAGAAACTGAGGTCTAGGTTGATGTGAAGGCTACTGAATATGACACCAGAAAGAAGTCAGAGATGTGTGCTGTGAAAGCCTTCGGGGGAAGGAATCAAATAAAGTAATGACCAGTACGTCAAAATCCACCACCTCTCAAAAGACGTAGTACGTTTTGTGTCGAGAGGCGAGCGGGGACGAGCTAGTGGAGAATAAAGTAGTATCTTAGTGTCTAGAAGAGACAGAAAAAAAAGAAACATGCGCTCGTACTCTAGTGACTCATCTCTTGGCGCCTTCGCTTCGACAGACTTCAACAGTATGACAGACTGCTCATGCGAATCTAGTAATTGACGATCCGGCCTGATCAAGGAAGTCGGTGATTGGGGGCTCGCCGCTATGATATAAGAATAATGTAAAATGCATATGACTTGGCCTCACTAGTGCTCGCCCAAACATCTTCACATGGCATATGTTAATGCTTATCAACCTCCCCCTCCCGTGAAACCTGCTTACGGACCTCATGGACCCGTCCCCTATGACATCAACGTTGCCTTTCCCCTCGACTTCACTCAGCTGGAGTCCCCGCGTCTGAAGCTAACGCCTTTCGTACCATCCATTCACGCTGCGAAATATCATGCAGCAATTTCAGACCCTGCGCACTTCTACCGTTACTATCCCTTTCCCGGCATAGAAGATCCAGAGTCGTATCTGCTGTTCATGGACTCCTTCGTGCGCCAGAACACATATAGTGTCCTCTTCGCGATCATCGACAAAACAACCCCAGACCCAGACTACCCGGAGTGGGGAGGGAAGCTCGCAGGAACAATTGCACTTCTCAATTATTCACCGACAAACCTATCGGTGGAGATTGGGGTTCTGTGTATCCTGCCCGAATTTCAGCGTACACATGTCGCAACGCATGCAGTAGGAACACTCCTCAAGTACTGTTTTACCATGCCCTCTACATCCCAGTCTGAATTTGGCTTGGGGTTGAGAAGAGTACATTGGTATGCGCATCCGGATAATGAGCCATCCCTGAGACTTGCTGCTCGCATGGGGCTCAAACGCGAAGGAACTTTGAGATGGGCATGGGTGTTGCCTGCCGGGAAGGTATTCGGGAAGACACCTAGGAAAAACGATATGCTGGCAGGACCAGGGAGAGACACGGCAATTATGGCTGTGTCATGGGAAGACTGGGAGGACGGAGCAAGCGAAATTGTGACGACGCAAATGGCCCGGATGGAATAATACATGGGTAGTCAATTCACGCCAAGGAATGCAATAGACAAATTCTCCTAAAATATACAGTAGAAACAATGATGGTATACACAGCACTGGATAACATACGCGGGAATTAATGGTCGTGTGCGATCAGGGTCCATGTAATTGGATGAATCCATCCTCTGCCATGCCTCTTGCTGACCTTCTCCTCACATCTGGAGACATACTGGCACCCATACTGTCTCTCATACCCATCCTTGCAGGAGAGGCCCCATCCACTCCAGGACCATAGAAGTGATTGGGTGGAATGCCATTGAATGGGACGTTCGAGTAACCTCCAAGATTGGGATGACGTGGAGCCACTTGAGACATGCCCGGCGATGCGTATGGGTAGTTATGATTTGATGAGGTCGAGTGATTTCGAGTGATACGAGAAGGATCGTGTGCACGAAAGTCGGGAGGCTGCATGGAAGTTCGAGCAGCATTCTCCTCCTCGCGTTGCTGTTTCTGGTACTCCATCAGTGGGGACGAGTTATAATATAGGTCAGACCCTTGGTCTACATGAAATCTGAACTATTTTTAATTCCCTTTGAATACGACATGGCTGTACGACGCACTGTTGAGTTCCGACATCCCACTGTGGTCCACGTTCAGCACGGGCTGTAATAAGTAATGAGTTCCACTCCGATGCAGACTCCTAAATAGAACGCTCGTAATGTTAAAGTGGTTGTGCAGGCAGTGCAGCATGGTACTCACGATAGCCTGAGCTACATTATTTGAGTCATAGTTCGGCTGGTGAGTAGCCACACGAATTTTCTCTTTCCTAGCCAGCGCTTCAACATGCGCAGAAAATTTTGCGCCTATCCTTTGGGCACCATGACGCGGAACTTTGATTCTGATGGCTTTTGCTGGCTTCCCAGGTGACATGGCGAGTAGTACGGCAAGGGATAAGGAACTCGGGCTATTATCCGGCGGAAGATGCCGATAATGTTTTATTCCTCCTCCCGGCTTAGTTCAGCTGATACTATCATAGCCCTACCTACACGAAGAGTTCTGTGACTGCACCTTACTTATTGTGATCCATTTGCCATCGAAGTACTCCTTCGTGCATTATGCAGCCTATATATAAGTCGACTTTTACTCGTGACTTTACTTATGCGGAATGGCCATTCCGCGGAGGGGCTGCCGATCACTGGTGGACCGGTGAGTTCTTGCTGAACAATTATGCTGATTGCGGGTGCTTTTACTTGGTCGCATATTTTTATATATCCCAAAATCCTTTCCCACATTACAACATGACAATGCATGACAATATTTTCTTTTCTGATCACAGTGTGAGACCAGGGCTCAAGAATGCGCAGCGTGGTGTTTACGTTGCTGATCCTTACCTTATTCAACAATATATGGCCTGCACAGAATTCCGAGTCCATCTGCCCTACAGTCGATGTCGGGTATGCGACATATCTCGGCAACCGGACATACTCAAATACGGTGGCGTACCTCGGGATACCGTATGCTGAGCCTCCTGTAGGCGATCTGCGCTTCCGTGCAACTGTTCCTCTGAACACTACGCGTGTAAGTGAAGAGGCCAATTTGAACGGAGATGCAGTGATCAACGCAACCTACTACCCTGACTTTTGCATCCAAGGAACAACGGGCGGTATTTGTGGTTGCCTTCCTAAAATATCTTCTCTGACATTGTGGCCCAGCTGGGGATGCAGGAGGAGCAGGATCAGAGGACTGCCTAAACGTCAACATCTACTCACCCTACGATGCCCAAGAAGGCGACAATCGTACGTTTTGCTATAGATGTCCTGTCCTACGTTTCTTACCACTCCATTGGATCTATGTAGTGCCTGTGCTGTTCTACATCCATGGCGGAGGTAAGTTTTCAAGGATTACATTTACCGGACCGAATTGCTTAATCTCATTGCGACAGGTTATATTTTTGGGAACCCACGCAACTGGCCATTTGATAACTGGGTCTATCAAAGTCCGAATGTCATTATCGTGTCTGTTTATTACCGTCTTGATTCTTTTGGCTTCCTGGCCACTCCCGAATTCGCCAACAGTACGTACGGCGACTTTAACGCGGGGTTCAAGGACCAGATCCAGGCCCTCAAATGGGTCAAATCATACATTAGTAAATTCGGCGGTGATCCGACCAAAGTGACCATCAACGGTCAGAGCGCCGGCGGTAGCTCCGTGGAGCTACACATGATTGCCAACGAGGGTGAACAGCTTTTTTCTGGCGCTATTGCGCAGAGCGTCTTTAGGACGCCTCTTCCCACTCCTGAGCAACAGCGGGTATGTGAATCGCCCTACCAAGATGAGCGCCACATCTGATGCCCATGGACAGCCCCTTTTTCAATTCTACGCATCATATGCGGGGTGTGGAACGGGCTCCGTGGCAGAGCAAATGGCATGCCTCCGCGGTGCAAGCGTTAGCGCGCTTGCACGGGCACAAGATGCCGCAGCTCAAGGAAAATTGTGAGTTTTGCCCACTCTACCTGAGGCACTCGTTTTCGCAGCTGACAGGTGGTAGTTCCGGGTTGTACAATTTATTTCGCCCCGTCTTGGACGGCGTGCTGATTACTGGATACCCTACGTTAAAGTTCCAACGCGATGAGTTTGCTCATGTTCCGCTTATAGTTGGGTATGTTGGCACCTGAGTTGTCTCGGTGCCGCACTACCGCTGATAACACCATTTTATAGCGCAACCTCCAACGAGACTCTTTCTGGCGGGACGAACATCTCTCTGGCACTTCAGGAATTTTTCCCATCACTGACAGATGCTGACATTCAAGAATTCCTGCTTCTATATCCAGTAGATGAATTTGATTCATTGAGTCAGCAATTCCAGGTGGCCACTGGTGAACCTGAATTGATATGCGGTGTAAGTTTGAGCCTCACTCCGCCGAGCTACTCTTGAGTCGTGCTAACAATACGCATCAGCGCCAGGCCATGAGCGGCCCATCTTCGCTATATTCCAATACTTGGACTTATCGGTACAACACACCTAACCCGACGAGTGGTAGTGATCTTGTCTCGCATGCTGCGGAGAACTGGATGATGTTTGATGGCACTAACACCGGGTGAGCCTCCGACACCCAGTCCATCTAACTAAAAGCACAGGCTCATTGAGAAATGACATTCTAGTTTCAATGGCTCCACGACATTTACACCACAGACGCCCGCCGAACTCGCGTTTGCTTCCGAACTCATTGCTTACTGGCTTTCCTTCGTGCGCGCTGGCAATCCGAATACTTACAAGCTGGACAAGTCTCCGGTGTGGGAGCAGTACACCGAGTCCAACCCAATGCGGATGGTTCTGATGCAGGACCCACAAAATCTGACGAATGTGAGTGGTAGCTACATGGAGGGACAGCCTGTTGCAGAGGCTGCTAGGTGTGCATTTGCAATTAGCAAGGTGAAAGCTTGTGAAAATTAGGCAGGATCATAGTGACCTGTCCAACTCATTTACCTCATACCTAAAGAAATGTAAACTAGAGTGTGGTGGATCACCCTCGATGATATTAGTACCGATCTCGCGAGAAGAATCGAACGGATGCCTAAATGTTTCGACCCGACAGATTGCAAAATCCTCTCCAGAGTCGAACTACGTATGTGGGAGTCGGAGTGTGGTTCATTAATGACTCATACGTAGCGTCATGTATGCCGATGACGCATTGCATGGACTCCACTGGGGATGCCCGCAGTTTTTCTTGTCAAAAATAGCTTTCTGTTTTTCTGGCGTCCATCGTAGGTTGTTTATCCTTCTACGAAATAGCATTGACCGACTCCATCGGATCTATAATAGGCTACAGCATTATGAGCATGAAATAGATAGTCAAGTGAAAACACTGCCAGAGCATACAAAAAATAAACTTCTGGGGTCACCTGGTCATTACAAGTACTGTACTGTTGATTGATGTTCCAGAAGGTCTTTCGCATGTGAGAATACGATCTCCTTGCAGCTTGGAGGATGCAATATCTCATTCCCGGCGTGGTACTCGTCCACACAATAAAGGAAAGGCAACAAACATGTTTATTTCAAGGACATGAAGTGGGACAGCGTACTATAAGGTCACCGAGACACTATGCAAGAATCAAATGCAAAAGTCTGCCAATTATAAGCCAATCAAACCATGACGGGTTCCCAGGGAAACTAAAAGAACCAAAGTTCAATGCTGGTAAAGCTGGATGTCATCATGATGGAGCCCAGAACCATGAGTTTCCTAGAAATTCGACAGTGTCGTTAGTGATTAATTCTGGATTGTACTAAAAGTTGTCCTATTACGGGATTTAGCTTTAAAGCTTCTGTCTCCACGCACCAAGCCATGTTTTGGATCGTCGCCTTGCTTTTGATAACCGGGCGAATAAGCCGCCTATTTGAAGGCAACGGTAAAGATGAAGAAAATGCTCCAAAGACAGCGAGACTGGATATCAAGAAGGGGCTAGAACCGTTAGGGTATAGTAGGTTGCTGTGCGCGTGTTGGAGAGCTCGAAGTATTGGATTGGAGACTGGATGGGTGCAACTTGGTGGTGCTGCTTGGTGGTGCTGGAGCAGCCGTGGGAAATAATGATGGGTGACCCGTTAAAGGGGCACCCCTGCGCAGTGTGCACTGTGCACCAGTACCCCACACTGACATCATCGCACCGCTCCCTGCAGTTATAAAAGACACCAGGTCCATATTACGTTGTATTCAGTTTTCCCCATTACACAAACATTACATTATGTGGTTCACGCACGATTCTGAAGAGTCTAAAGCACACTCGGAGGTAAGCTGCAATAATGTGTTACGTCGACCAGTCATCTTAACGATCTGTAGGTGACTGGCGGACACAGCGCCAAACTGAGCCATGAGCTCATTGCCGCTGCTGCGTCATACGAGGTTTGTCTTTCATGCATGTCGAGCATGATGTCGTTACCGATCACATCCTAGGCTGCAAAAGCGTACGAGAAACATGTCCAGAAGAACGGAAAACCCGCAAACCATGCGAAGGCCGTGGAGCTGCTGTGAGCATCATCATCACAGAATGGTCTCGAAATTATCTGATAAAAACTTTTTTCGTAGTGCGGGACTGACGGGTGGCTTTGTTGACCGCATTGCAGAGACCAAGGGAATGGACGCACTTGATAAGGAAAAAGCCAAGCATGCAGGTGCGATCTCCAAGCCTTGAAGTATACAACGCCCTGGATCATTATTTTTGTAGCACATGAACGCGCTAAAAGCTCCCTCGAGAAACATGGAGAATTTTGAATCAGCCATAGTGGCAGTTGAATGCACACGACGGACTGGGTAGCACGATGTACAATATAGCTTAAATTTATCGCTTAGTGGATCGAATTCCAGGATGTGTAACCTAAGTATGGCTTGCAGTATCTTGAACAACAATCCCTGAGTTAAAACCACGTTGGAACACATTACACTCACCAATTTAGCACTACCGGGTTTGAAACCATTATTTATCCACGGCGGAGGACTTTCAAGTTAATGTTGAACACAGCGACAACACGGTGACCCAGTGAAGTATGAAAGCGGTGTCGCCTATTTTGACCATTCCTAAACAAGGATTAACAGGTACAAAGAACGCGTAAACACGGTCTTCCTCCATTGCCAATCCTTCGGCTTGTCATCGTGGAAGTAGTATCATATTGGCCTAGATACATTCAAGTCGAACTACATACAAGGCATCGTGCAAATTATGTCCCGAACTTCTGCTTCTCTTATTCCCTCAGCACCTGGACCGTCGACTCCACTCACAAACTCGTATACTTACCATTCTTCAACACCTACAGCACCGGGGCCATATATCCTTGGTGTTGATGAGGCCGGTCGTGGGCCTGTACTTGGCCCGCTTGTTTACGGTGTTGCTTATTGCCCTGTATCTTGGAAGACCGACTTAGAGCAGCTGGGCTTTGCTGGTAAACATCTCTCAAGCGCTCAACTACATTCTGACATGAGCCGTATCTTCTACTAGACTCCAAAACACTCACTCCGGAAAAACGAGCCCAATTGTTAGGTGTGCTTAACTCTGATCCTCAGAATCTCGGATGGTCTGTCCGAGTCATCAGGTACGTACATCCACAGTCCTATCTTGTGAGACTTCTCATGGTGGCTAGCCCACAAGCTATATCAGCTGGGATGCTGAGGATCCCGCCAACGAATCTTAACAAGCAATCCCAAGACGCAACCGTATTGCTCATACGCGACGCTCTTCAGCGTGGACTCCAGTTGTCTGAGGTCAACATGCGTGCTGCGTTTTCGAATGAATACTAAACTATCCTCTGCTTAGGTATATGTGGACGCACTTGGAAACACAACTACTTATGAAGCGTATCTTTCTTCACAATTCCCGGGCATCAATTTCACCGTGACAACGAAAGCAGACTCCAAATTCAAGATTGTGGGAGCAGCCAGCGTGGCGGCAAAGGTGACAAGGGATGCATGCGTCGATGGGTGGACCTTCGAAGAACTAATTGAAGAAGACGAAAATGCAGCAAGGAATACTCGAAACTGGAACAGAGAATTCGGGAGTGGCTATCCATCGGGTGTGTTACTAAGTCGCAGGAAATTCTGCGTTCTTGCTTAACGCAGTTACAGATCCAAAGACTCAAATTTGGGTAAAGAACTCACTCGACCCTACTTTCGGCTTTCCGTCGATAGTTCGGTTTTCGTGGACGACTGTTAAAGTCATACTGGAGAAATCTGCTCACCCTGTAAAATGGTAATGATGTTGTCTTTCACTGTCCAATACCCAACTTCATCTGTCCCTTTTCACAGGATTGACGAGGGACAAGAGTCATTAATGAAGGCATTCGAGGGCGGGAAGGGGAGAGAGAAAGACCGGTGCATCGTCGCCAAGGACCTTGGAATTCAGAGTATTGGAATGCTATAAAAGCGCTTTGTACAGCATGACACCACATTACTGCATCCTTTCTTTCCAACTTCCCACCGCCAGTTTTGTTGTTTTTCCGACGACAATAACTGATTCGAATTCTGGAAACAATGTTCGCTCGGTCACCAGCCAACCTCGCCCGCTCGCGAAATGCGGAGGCTGACCATTCCATAAATAATTTAGGTGATGATAAAGCTACATGTCAGCCGCTATGCTGTACAAATGCTTATATGCCAGCAGCGGTAAGTAGTACTGCTCTTATACCCTTTGCAACCCGACCGCCGAGTCGTTCGCGAACAAGTCCGCCACTGTCCTTACTCGTCAGCGCTCGCGAAAATGTCTTCCATTCTGCATACCTTTGCCCTCTTTCTTCGCAAATTCTTGTCATTCGTTACAGGACTGTTCCACTTGTTCTTCGGTCTTTTTACTGGTGGAAGGCGAGCGACTCAAGAGTCCAATACACCAGGAACTGAAGGCCAGAGCTTCTTCACTATCGTTCAACTTGTTTCATCCCAGAAGCCGAAAGGGTTGAAGCCTTTCGTGCTGCCAAAGAATGTCGTCCTGCGGCAGCTTAAAGAAGCCAGATGTAGGACTACCCAAGGCCGAGAGATGGCATCGTCGACGAATTTCAGTGACCCGGAACTTGGTCGTTGTAATGTCGTTAATCTTCGGGAATCTCCACAACTGTCACATCCCCTGTTCGATCGCCCGGAGTTACCTATGCCTTCGTTTTCTCCTCTCTCATCCTATGCATCCCCGAAGCATTGTTCCGATGAATATGTGTTCCGCAGCTCTTGGCCACCTATCTTGGGCACGCAGCTACAGCCCGGCAAGAACTCGCTTCCCTGCAATGCAGACCTATCAACGTCCCTGTCATCTGCTTCCCTCAAAGTATGGACTAGTTCTCCTCAAGGCAAACAATTACGCTCGCCTACTCATCCGAACTGCTCCTATTCGCCGAGTGCAGGAGAGAATCGGTTCGCTTCTCCATTTGGTGACAGAGGCAGCACATACTTCGCTCCATACTTCAAGGGTGTCCCTTCTGTCGCATCTGCATCTGATCTACTCGACTTCTCGGTCTACACTAGCTCCCCGCGTGTCAACGTGGATTACTCCTCCGCCATTGATGCTTCCGGTGACATCCAGCCGCCGGAGAAACTGAGGATTCAAGAGCTCTACTATGATCTACGACCCCGCTATCCAAGAGGTGTTTACGCTGCGTCCTAGCTACGGCACACGTACTCCGGGGAGCGGAGGACGCAACTTCCGGAAACTCGTTTCGTCCACTCCCCCTTTGTCATCGAACTCATCCGTGTCCGACTGGTCGCCGTCCGCTCTCTTTACAAGTGTGGGTGAACGAACAACTTCCTCTCCTTGCACGACGCACACAAGATCGGTCTCGGCTCTGTGTATCTCCGGTTCTTGCGACCTGCCTGATGCTGAAATTGGCAGGAATCACCCTAGCTCCGTTCCGCGAGTCTCTGTCCGGCATGTAGGATTTTCTGCGAAGAAGAGCATCGTTCCAAACACCGTGTCTTGCCCTGACATACCTTATTCTATGATTCGTGCCACCACTGGTGAGGGTGAAGTTATCATTTCTTAGTACTGTATAGTTGTAGTTGATTGTGACGTCAAGTTTGTATGATCATTTCCCAGACATATCAAGAGTAGCTATACAACATGAGCGGATGCTAGTGAGGACAGTGTGAGTGGACATCGTATATCGTTAGCACAACAACGTGGAGGATAGGAAAGCTGGTATACAAGAAAGAAAGAGCAGTTTACAACGCTAGAACCAGCTTTAACCAGGCGTAGAGATAACCTTAGAACATTGCATCAAGCCTTTCCGTGTCAAATCCTTTGTGTCGGGGCACGAAGAGACAAGGGAAGGGCAATGGATAGCTGAGGAGATATTAGGATCAGAAATGCACACAAAAAAGAATCTTACGAAGTGATGCCCGCAGTAAACTTCGGATTTACATTGATATCGTTGCCTTGCTCGTCTTTGCATTTCTTGATAGTCAAAAATAGCCAGGATCGAGACCATAGCAGACCAGATGGATGCATCTGCGATATATCGCCCAACGCCTTTATGATGTCACGATCAGAATCATTACCACAATGAGGCAAATAGAGCTCAGCGAGACTGACAAATTCTGCGACCCGCACCAAATGCAACGTTCACGGTGTCATCATTCAGCTTGCCATCAGCGCCAAAGAAACGCTCGGGTTTAAATTCTTCTGGGTTGGGATACTTGGCTTCGTTGTGTGTGATCGCCCTTTGACAATGATCAGCGGTTAAAACTTTATAATTGGCAAATGCTCACCATGTGTTCGTTATAATTGTAGCTCCTGATGTGTGTCAATCGACAAGCTACAAATTCTCAAACATGTCGCACCTTGCGGGATGAAGTATCCGTTATAGACATCATCATTCGTGGCAGCGTGGGGGATGCCTGTGTCATTCATATTTAGTCCGTTACTCACAGCATATATTCCGTACGATACATACTTAATGGTACAGCGGGGTGCCACCGGAGAACTTCGCGGAGAACAGCCTCGACATAGGGCAGTGATGCTCTGTCCTCGAAATTCGGCAGCCTGACCGAACCGACCACAGAGTCAATTTCGGCTTGTGCGCGCGCTTGTACTTCCGGGTTTTGTAGCATCGTCAAGATGAAAATAAACATAGTTGATGAGGTCTGAGAGAAAAACTGTTAGCAATATTTTTGTAAGCGCGATAGCCGCGATATGGCTTACTGTCTCCGAGGCAGCTAAGAGGAACAGAATAATGTGAGGGATCAGCCTTGAGATTATAAAATCGCATCAACATACCCGCGAAGGCAGTCACAGCGCTCTCTTTGATTGCCTTGACATACGTCTCAGACGCATTTTGATCTTCGGCTTTTCTCAAAGAGTCAGCTACCATAGATGGAGATGCCGAGCCTGACGCCTAGTTCACCTCGGATCAGATAGATGGCTGATGGTAAGAGACGCTAGAACCTACCAAATTCTCTTGGACGTACTGAAACGGCGCCTCGATCATCTCCTTGGCATACTTCGTGGATAAGACAGCTGTCCGCTTGAACGAAGCTCCAGGGAACCATGATGGCACGTGTTGCACTGTACGTCTGTGAGACACCAAGTAGGCACAAAAGAGTACAGGAACTCACAAAATGGGAATGCGCCAAGGAAAGCAGCAACCTCGGGTTTGATAGAAGACACCGCTAAGTCGACAGCCCTCTCGACAATGGTAATGATGGGGTCGTCCCTTAGGCCAGGTTCGTAACCGTAAACGACGGACATAATAATAGAGACTGAGTGCCTGATCTGCGAAATCAGTATCAAAAGAGTACACACTGTATCGATCCTCCTACGTCTGCACATGCGCCCTCCAGTTGACTGGGTCTTCAAGCAAGTTGCTCAACAACTCTCGCGCCTTGCGAAGCTGCATTGTTTGATATGTAAAAGCTGCTTCTGGACGAAATGCTTGGTGAAACAACCGTCGGTGGAGCCTCCAACGATCATTATACTTGATCATGACAGAATTAAATGACCAGCCAACACTGCCGTGACTCGGTAAATCTGACAATTGCGTGCGAGGTTTAAATTGCACGTACAAGTCATTCATCAGGCACAGGATGCCAGGTCTGTCGGAGTAGTTGTTGGAGCGCCTCTCCAATAGGTCCCTGGCGACTTTCTCAGTATTGATCAAAATGATTTCCTGGTTGAGCAGACGGGAGTACACCAATTCGCCTTGAAATAAATCGGGAGAATTAGTTTTGTGTGTACTGCAGAACCATGTCCAATGTCTCACCGTATGTAGCACCCCAGTGTGTGTATGTGACCCAAGGCTCATCAATCTTGAGACCAAGCACGTTACCCACTACTGGGAGCGGCTTGGGACCTGGAGGAAGAGGAAGGCCTGCCGGGTTTCTCTTCTTATGTGACCACCAGCCAAGTAAGCCATATGCTATCGCAGACATGGCAGCAAGAGCTGGAATACGATAGTCCGATGATGTAGACATGAAGATGACGACCTGAAAAAAGGTGAGGGCCAGAGAAGAAAGAAAAAGAACTCGCACTCCATATGCGCTTTGGTAGTCCGGCTAAGTAGGAAAAGATGCCCATGTTGACACCCCGACTTCGAAACCATACAGTTGGTACCATTGTGTGTGCAAGATCTGAGTACTAGTGTATTGATGGGCCATTTCAAATTGCCTCGAGGCCTCGTATTAATCATATACCCGCATATGGGCCGATTTTTAGTCGGTGAGTAAAACACTCGCAAAATAATTCAAGCAGGTAAATGCAGTGTGCTTGTTAGCTCAGAGGATACAGCTATGTATACGCCTACTGTAATGTAACTAACAATACTAGCACTAGTTGTGCAGTACTTAGTGCTAGAACTTATTCGGTCCAAAGCGCAATCAATGATATCTCCTTATGAATACTAACGAGCATCCCTTTTAAGGACTAAAAAATAGATATGCTAATCAAATTGGGAACCACCCAAAATTCACACAGATGACTAATGAGGCAGCGCACTCGTAAGTCGCGGACAAGTTCACTGCGCTCTGCTCCTCCAGTACTCTCTTATTATTCATCATTCTAATCCACAACGTCAATGGAGGAAAGCATCAGTCTTGAGGAGACGAACAAGATTCGTATCTCTCTCGGTCTCAAGCCTCTCACAGATGATTCTGCACCAGTCGACGACAAAGAGAAGCAAGCAGAAGATAATTATGCAAAACAGCGCGAACGACAGGCGAAAGAGAAGGAAACAAAGTATTTACATGGTTCGTTTCTGAGTATACGACTTGTTCTGATTGACGTCTCTCTTTTCCAGGCAAATATTTGACCGGATAGCGAAGTGAGTTTCAATTCATCTCTTCGGCCTCGGCCAATAATTATTGCTCATTTTACAACCACAGGGTGAGGAACAGACGAGAACTCCATGCTTCCCTCAAGGGTACAACACTTGGTGATCCCGACGGCGATACAGAAGATACCCTGAAGTGGATCAAAAAAGCCAAGAAGCGCGACAAGGAGCTGGCGCAGAAAAGGCAGCAAGAGCTTGAGAACTTGGACAGAGCCTTTCAGGGTGATGAATATACGGAAAGTGCGTGCAGGTCCCGTAACATAAATAATGACTTGCCTGATAGTCTATCCGCAGAGGATTTGGTTGGTCTCAAAGTCAGCCACGACTTTGAAGACCTCGGAGAAGGCGATGCCCGTATTCTCACATTGAAAGATAGCCGCATCCTTGACAATGAAGGTGCGTCCACTGCGAGCCTTACTGTAACGCTGCTGTTCCTAATTCCACCCATCCAGAGGATGAACTTCAGAATGTTGAGATGGCCGAAGAAGAGCGCACTCGCAAGAATAATGAACTGAAGATTAAAAGACGGGATTACACCGGTTACGATGATGACGAATTCGGAGATGGCAAAGCTGGAACGAAAAGATCAATTTTGGCGAAATATGACGAGGATATTGAAGGTCCTCGGGAAACTGTACGTATGTCTAACCCACAACGCTTCCACCGCAATTAATTATTTGCTCATGTTTCAGGATTTCCGTTTGGGCAATTCTGTTACATCTACCACGCTTAGTGGCGTTCAGGCGAAACAAGAACTAGCAGGCGTAAATAAGTCTTTACTGTCTATAGATTACACCAGTCAGTTTTTATCTTGGCTTTGTCCCTTGCCTTTTGTTGATATATTCCGGTTTCTAGAAAATTTGGAAACTCGTGATTACCTGCAAGAAGGAGATATAGGGTTCAAGAAGCCGAAAGTAAGCGATATTCAGGTCTTTTGATTGATGAAACTTGACATCCATGTTCATTAGACCAAGAAGAAACGTTCATCACGTCGCGCCCCCATTGATGGCGATGAGAATATTATGGAGATTGATGTTGATGAGAAAACGATTGTGCCTAGGCCACGTGAGTTAGACGCCAACTTTGTCGATGACGATGAGCTACAAGCTGCACTTGCTCGGTCCCGAAGAGCGAAGATTCACAAACCCAAGAAGTTATCTCCGGAAGAGATCGCTCGTAAAGGTAAGCTGGGCTGATTCCTTCTGAGCGCTTAAGAGTAACTGTTTTTAGTCGCAGAAGAACGTAACCGAGAGCAATCGAGCCAAGCAGATGATACTTTACAGATGGACGACGCAGAGGATGGCGATGCCAATGGTTTGACATTCGACGATACCTCGGAATTCGTTCGGGCTATCTCATACAACACGACTGTAGTGAAGTCAGAGCCTGCAGAGGAATCAGTAGAGCCCACCCCTGCCAAACAGATATCACCCTCTGACCTTTCAGTGGCTGCAGGCGACGAGGCTCTCGACGAAATTGAAGCTGGTGAGGTTGTTAAGGAAGAGGAGTACGAAGATATGATGGAAGTCATCGCTGAAGCGGAGGCGAAAACTGCCGCAGTAAACGACGACGTCGAGGTCGGGACATCAGGCGAAAAGATGTTCGGCTCTGGTATGGGGGCCACTCTTTCACTTCTTCGGCAGCAGGGTGTATTGGCGATGCCATCGGTAGATCAGACCGCGCGAGAGTCTGTTCAGTTACATAGGGATCGATTCCTCGCTGAATATCGTCATCGACAAACCCAACGCGAAACGGATCGCTTACAGTCTCGGAGTGGTAACAAAGACCAAGCGACTCGAGAATATGAGAATCGACTCCGAGAACAGCAAGAGGCTCGCGCACAAGCTGGAGCTATTCAAGGACTACAAGCCTGACGTAGAAATTGTCTATTACGACGAGTATGGCCGTGTGCTAACCCCGAAGGAGTCATGGAAAGCATTGTCCCACAAATTCCATGGCAAGGGATCCGGCAAGATGAAGACAGAGAAGAGGCTGAAGAAAATTGCGGAGGAGAAGAAGCAAGCTGCTATGGCAAGTGGTGATACCCCCCTTAGCATGAACCGTGCCTTCCAGATCCGTCAGGAGAAAACTGGCCAAGCTCACTTCGTACTGTCTGTGGGTAACAGAGGGTACGTTCATTCTGCGTCTGTCCCCTTACTCCCTCTGATTGCAATACGTATAGTGCTGTCCCTCAAGCGTCCGAGTTCTTGGACCCTCAGCCGCTGTCAAAGGGCAAGACTGAAAAGACGAAGAGCAAAAAGAAGGACTCGGGGAAGGCCGGTGCTCCATTGCTTGAATCCACTGGTTTCATGACACTGCCGGCGCCGCATTTGCAGTCCCACCTCAATTCCCAAAGTCCTGCCCCATCCGGATTTTCATCTGTTATGCCTCCTAGTGGATCGAACTCACCTCCAGTCATGAAGCCAGGCTTTTCTCGTATATCGTCAGCTGCAGATACGCCGACACAAACAGGTACTCCTGTGCCGTCAGACCGGACGAAGGTGGCCTTTGGCTTTGGAGCGAAGAGGAAAGCAGAGGACTTTATGGATCTACCTCCCTCCAAGAGACGATGAGTTTAATTAATATTTTGATGTAATTATTTCCCGCTCTCGTTTATCACTTTCGGAATATATGGCATAGGGTGCCCATAATATCGTGAACTTCTTCGTTCATGATCGTTGAAATTTGTCCTTGTTTGAATACACGAGGAGCTTTTCTATGAGCAGCGGGAACGTGTGTTCGACCCTTCTTTCAGGACACATCACGGAACGAATTGATGTTGAGATGAACGAGGACACAAGAAGGTAAACAAAATGACAATCTAGAATCACTGGGTGCGTGGCATCATTCATGTTCAAGTCCAAGTACTTATTTTTGTCAAAGCAGCGGTTGCAAATGACCAACCCAGCTTGTGTAAGCTATGGTCCTTAAGCTTCATCCAGAACCTGAGGCCTGAGGGCCAAATCAATGTTTGTCCAAAGCATGAAGATGCTTTTGCTCTAGCAAATTTTCTGCTAGGAGACTGATAGTACTGTCAGTTGCTGTCAGTTGTCTCCCTAATCAAGAAAAGCTTACCGGGTAAATATTGCAGCTATCTTCATAGATCATGATTTCAAAATTTCACTTAGCCGCTTTTGTTGGTGCTCCATAATGCTAGCTTCTTTTGTAAGTCATTGCAGAGTTACTAGTACAATGACTGCTGACCATCATCATCACGCATGCAAACCGTCGACATGAATCAGATGCTTGCGAAACGTCGGCAGTAGGTTGCCATGTCCATGTGCAACATGACGTCTTTTGACATATCTTGAGACTCCATGATGCGGCAACCAACTTGAATAGGTGAATCAAGATAAAACCAAATTGTGCTTCCAACAGCTCACGCAGTGCCCATTCTGCATGCTATGAGTACAAACAATGTCTACAACAGGAATTACATTTCGAAAGCTGTGGTTTGGCTTGAAGGACCACATGTAAGCACGCTGGCCATGTTCAAGGTGTCAAACAGATGAAAGTGTCACAGTCTGTATATAGCAGATCAGAGCATTTGGGCCACTGACGTTCCGCATTTGAAAAGGGAAGGACTCGACCGAATATGAAATCGAGGTGTTTGAATGCTCGATTGAACCTCGAATTGGCGGCCCCACTACGACGTCAAACCCACGCGAAGATCGGAAACAACACAACAATGTAGATTGAGTGGAGATTGACCACGATAAATATGTGCAAGCTCGCGAGTGTTGAATAGTGTAAATACATAATGCAATGTAAGAGGTGGAGCTGTAGGTCAATCCGATCAACACGAATGACGTCTGAATTCAGAATAGCACCCACAAATCGTAAAGATTCCTGCCCAATGAGGACTAGGGATCTTGATCGCCTATGAATGAGGTGATGGTATCTGATCTTCAACATGAGATGATCCAAAAACCATTTGCCAGAGTTCGGGGCCATCCCGTATGAGAGCCTGAAACAGGAAAGTGCATAAGATGAAGCAAAATTAAAATAACCGTTGTATGACATACGATGACAACTTCCACAGCAATAAGGGCGATGATCACAAGTTCCATCCGATGAGTAGATGACTAACAGAAAAGTTAGTATGCGCCCACAATCTTTGACGTGAGATAATGTACCTCCGTAAGTAGCTGACGGAGAGTTGATTGCACCTGAGTTGGACAATTAGTTACATGTATCGTTTTACCTTGAGCATCTCACCTCCGTGGCATAGGTGATTTTCTCATTGACCGCGTTGGTTCTTGCCTTCACTTCGAGAGCCGCCGTCATCGATTTGAAGAAACCTTTCAGGTCAAGTTAGATCGATGTGGACTGATGACCATTTATGCCAACCTTCTAATTCAGGCTCAGTCCAGTACAAGTCTGGGGTATCAGAGAAGTTCTCCCTGTTGAGGTTAAGGCCCTGGCGAAACTTCATAAGCGCTCCGAGCTTCTTGATAAGGGCTTCCCTGCTCAGACCAGGCTTGCCCGTCTTCTCGAGGGAGTGCGGGAGAAGTGCTACGGAGGAGAGATAGTCCTCAAGTGATTCTTCAAGACCTGAAAGAGCTGTAGAACGTGATAGTGCTTGGGAGAATGTATATCGTGCCAGAAGGGTATCTGCGGGGAGTGCAGGGGAAACTGGCGGTACGGTAGGGGCGTTTTCAGGGTACTCGAGTGGTGCTACACGTCCAAGTATGATTAAATCTCCTTGTATTCGAGTTTTTCTGACAATGGATTTTTCGTGAGTAAATTTGGCTGGAGCAGTTGAACTGAGTACTCACTCTGTTGGATCTGTCACAAATTCCAGTTCCTCTGTCTCTGGATCCTTTAACCGGCCAACCTCACTAGGGGCAAGGACTTCTCGTGCAAATCGTCGCGCTTCTCCCTCTCCAAGACCCCAGCACACAAAACTTCCATTCGAGAACACAAAAATCTCGCCCCCGTCACCCCATTGTGGAATCCACCAGGAATCATGAAGTGTCTGAGCATCTGGAAGACGAGAACGTAGTCTTGACAATAGGTATCGTTCTGCTGTCGCAAGAGTGATCACAGGCTTGATAGAACTTCTAGTAGGTGTCGGGTTGGAGCGAATGGGTATCGATGCAGACGCACTACGACGAAGTGGTGTGCTTGCTTTTGGTTTGTGCTTTGGTGTATCCGAAGGCTCCGCATCTACAGAAGCTGAGAAAGCACGGGTATAGAGGAACCAACGGTTACGATGTACTGCTGCAGACGCAAGACTAGTATTATTAGAGTATGAGCGCAAGTTTGTTCGGAAACTAGCAGTCCTGAGTTCTCTGCAGAAACCGTTCATGGAGGGATGAACAAGTGTAGACCCAAAGCTGAAGCTTTAAGCTATGGATGATGTACTGTTGAAGAAAGCCGATCGGACGCGTCAACTATAGCCGACAAGCCATTATGTAATATTCACTCGTTCGTTGCAATAGTCTCAAAGAGGATTGCGGCTTTGCTGTAACATGTCCCTAACACTATAAGAAAAGCTAAGAATCGGCAAACGGCGGTATATCAGCAGTGTTAGGATATATAACCAATACTAGTACTATATAACAAGTTTCGACGGCCGCTATACTTTATCGATGCATCAACAGTCATGCCAGATTATGCATGGGGTTCGTGTGGGTTTAAGTTAAATTGCATGCATACAGGATTTAACATTGTCAACGTACTTACTTCAGCTAAACAGTACATGAAAACATTGAAAAGGCTTGTCGATCAGGCCGTATAATCATTCAAGACGGTAAGTGCCATTACCCTTGCATTATCAAAGGGCAGAGTTAATAGTTATGTGCCGGATTTGCGGTTGACAAGGTGCTTGAAGTTATCCGGAAGGTGTATTCCGTTGCGTCCGAACGAGTACTGGTATGTAAGTATGCTATAGAATAGATATACAAAGGAGTACGAGGAACACTTGCTATGCTCTGTGAAAATTGATCAAAGCGGACATAAATCACGAGCTCTTTCCTGGTTGCGCATTACGAATTTCTGCACGCGGTGCCATCTCATAATCTCCGAACCCAAGAGAATTCTGAACGTCTTTGTCACTTGCATCTGGCTCAAGATGACCTTGAGCGTTACGACGGGCTCTATATAATCAGTATTTGAGGTTGGTAGATTTGACGGGTAACAGAGACACGCACTTGAAGAACGTATACGACAGAACAACATCATCAATGCCCCTACATGCAGGGTCATCGAGAATGTCTTTATCTATGAAAAAAAGGAGCGGCATATCGACTTCCTCTCCTGCAAGTAATTTCTGCTCCTCAAAGCAGAAGCACTCTACTTTCGAAAAGTACGGTGCAATCTACACACCACCAAACATCAATAGCTGCTGACATCCGACATCCAGTGCGGTACCCACTCGGTCAGGCGTGACATTGTACGTTGCAATTCCAATTATGTCATTTTTACTCTCATTCTTGGCCTTATAAAAAGCAAGACTGGTTTCTCCGGGAAGGACTGTCACGAACTTCTGTTGCGGAGTAAAAGCCCACGGTAGCGCTTCAGCACGGTCAGCATTGAAATGAACCTTGATGCGACGTGCTCCGTCAACAGGAACCAGGCGCCCGGGTTCGAATCGGCCTGTACCAACATTGGGAGTGCCAGCGAAGCCGGTGGCTGCGCAAAACATTCTGTAGAGCGGAACTGCAGCATAAGTTACCCCTACTGCGAAGACAATCTGTCAAGATAGAATGAAAACATATGGGAAATAAGACAGCGAAAGCATACGACGGCAGAGGAGTACATCAGCAGATTGCGATTCCGGGCGGCGTACAATGACTGTCGGGATGCATATGGAGGACGTGATTTAGCATTCAAAGGCGTCCTGGGATGGGAATTGGTGGCCATTTTCCGCCAAAGTATGGAGCGTGATGTCGACCATGAGCATGGACTTTTACCAAGATGGGTCAAGAAATGAGTGTTGACAGTATGCAATGAACGGCTCAATGAACGACATCGAAAGAACGCGTCCAGGTAGTGATGAGTCGTCTATGAAAAAGTTAGCGTGACAAAGATGATTGATCTGAAAATGCACTCACAGACTGAGATGCACGGCCTGCCTTCAAGAGAGGCACACACAGCTTAAAGGACATCACCGTCAATGACGAGCAAGACATTTCTGCTTCCGACTTCAAGTGGCAAGCACGTGACTTTTCTCCTACCACTGGCTTCAAACCGCCCACGACGGCGACGACGACGACAACAACAACATGTCGACAGGAACATCAACACCTTCTAGTTCAAAGACACCCATTTCGACAAGCGATACAGATATAGAGCAGCTTCTCTTTCGGGAGGCATCTGCCTTCCAGCGTGAGCTTGAGGTCGAGCGGATTCTCAAGGCGTTCAAGCTCAAGTACGTAGTTGCATGTTACGTTTGATCAGTCATTTAGCATTATGACCTAGCCCATATGATATTCTCGACATAGACGAGTCTTCAAAGCCCGAAGGAATAAAGCGCAGATACCGGCAGTTGTCTCTCTGTGAGCGATCTCGCTTCACCCATCCTCTACTTCATAGAATAAAAGCTGACGGTTTTGCGCCTCCATAATCATGGTTGTTCGTTTGGTGATTCTGCTCGACCTTGAACTCGGCTTCGCTTCATGTCTGGTCGATTTTGTGCATGCGTACGTTGTTCCGTAACAAGTCATCCATCCTGACAAGACCCCCCACGCTCGTGCTCCAGATGCATTCGACCTTCTCAAGAAGGTGCGTTTTTCTCCCTCTAATGATTCCCTCCCATGCTTCTAATTCTTCCATTGAGTTCATTTCTGTGTCATCTTCCGTCACTCACAACACTCTTAATCCAACGGAAGTTTTAATATTCACTTTCCTCGCATATCATTTGGTGTGCTGTATACATATGAATCCAAATTCTCATCCTTGACTCAGGCTGAATCCGAGCTATCCGACACTGCCAAACGCGAGGCTCTCGACGCCACAATTGCAGAGGCGCGCCTACAGCTCCTCCGCAGTCACGGTTTCTCTACGAGCACGCAGGACGATGATCCGAAACTTCGAGGACTAGTCCCGCCCTTTAAGGTCCAGTTGCGAGCAAAGGTGAAGGACTTGTTAATTGAGGAAGAGGTTAGACGCAGGAAGTGAGACACTTGTCTCTGCTGTTGAACTCACTGCAGTCCTGATGATTCGGGTTTCTTGTAGAGCGATCAAGATGAACCTTGCGAATGAGGGACTGGAAGCTCGCAAAAAGGAGGAAGAAGTTGCTACAAGAAAACGTAAAGCGGAGGACGATAAAACATGGGAAGGTGCGTTCTGCTATTTCTTTGGTCACTACCACTTTCATGAATCATCGTCTATCACCTACTTATAGAGTCCCGCGAAACCCGTGTTGATTCATGGCGGTCATTCAACAATACCGCAAAGAAGAAGAAAAAGACGAAGGTTCAGATCCTCGGATGATTCTCCGAACCACCTACATCCTGGACACTCCCCAGGGAAACCCCGACGCCCTGCCATCGAACCTCATTCATCCGCGTGCGTTTGAACGTTAATATGAACACCGTCTTTTCTTGTAACCCATAGTTCTTGCCCATGTAAGAGATCTGCTATACCACAAGGACATGCTTCCTGTGCCTGACCATTCTTATACACGCGTGTGTTCAAAAACGACACGTCCAATTCATCGTACATAATCGCAAAAGGAAGCACAGGTAGACTTGCGCATATCCACTTGGTAATAAGGCTGCAGACAACTAAACTCTTCCATCTATTCAATAAGGTGAAACAATTGCGTCTTACCAGGGCCCTCGCGGATCTTTTATCTGCGCAGCGAGGCTCTGTGATTCGTGGTGATCAGTTCGAAACTCTCGAAACAGGCATCATAACTGCCAATATCGCGAGCTGCAAGCATCACACATTTCCTCCAGACTTGGTCATATTTGTGGGATAAAACAGTATAGAAGTAGAAACGGAATCAGTGAAAGTTCCACTTTACAAGGTGCAGTTTCCCATGACAGGGTGGTCAATGGATTGTGGATACAAGTATCGCGGTTAATTTGAGCGAGTACACGTACATCGATGCCAAAGGGCATAGTCGACAATCTAACCGTGGCTAGGATCGACACAACTTTAAACCTGGCATGTACTTCAATTTCAATGTCTCGCGTCTTGACTAGACCTCCACGAACCTGAAACATAGCTGTAAAAATGCAATGAATAGATGATTAGCCACCAGCTAGGATTCTTTGAATATATGGTCATATTCAGGGATGGGTATAAGTGAGCGAGGGGAACTTAGTTGGTATATTTATATTAGTGAGACCGGTATGGCGGAAATGAACATTGAAGTCAGTACGAGGATTTACTGGTTCCCTGGTCCTTGGCAGTCGGACGAGCTATCACTACATCAATCTCCATTTCCTCAAATCGACTGCGATGTTCGTGTCTACAATCTCACCACTGACCACCTCATCATGAAGAATTCCACCTCGTGAATCGCAACTTCCAATAATTCCGTTTCTACCTTGACGCTGCCTTTCTCGAATACCTCTCCATCCCATAAAGATGACCAAGTTTTGGGAGAATGAGCGAACAACTGATGCACACTGCCTGATATGTTGGCACTAACCATGCCTTTTTCGAGATCTCCAACCTGATAACCGCAGATAACGGAACCTGGCTGCGCAGATAACAGGCCCGCGAGAGCCCTGGCAAGATGCAATTGTTTGTCCTCAGTGAAGAGATGGAAAAGCCTTGTAGCACTGATTGCGCTAATGCGGCCATGAAGGGGATTGAGGGATTTCAACGAGGACAAATCGATAGCCGGGGCCGAAGAGACATCGATCGGCCGCGCAGCTATGGAAAGAAATTCTGGATCGAAGACATCTCCAGGAAGGAGGCATCCCGGGTAAGAAGTTGGTGTCGTTCTGAAAAGTTCATGGCCAAGCTCAAGGAATTCTATATACGCATGCATCCGAGTCGTTAGCAGTAATGTTTCACGGACAAAATGAATTACCGTTGATGATATCCGAAGCAATGGTATTTTTCGCAGGAAAACCATCCGCCGCAGCCTTTCTGGCATCAACACCGACTAAAATGGAGTCAAGCTTTAGTACCTACCCAACAAAGTAAATCGTAATTTGACGTACAGCAACAGCCAAGGTCGAGTAACACGGCATCGGGACGCTCACGACCAAGCTTTAGGATGTGTTCATACACAGGGTAACTCGATATGTTGAGGCTGAACACGTTCCCTTATCATGAATCGACTTGAATACATAGATCATAGCTCACGTACCGAAGAAAGACAAATCCGTGAATACAAGGATACGGTGCAATCTTTCAACAGCAGAAGGTTATTCAACTTATGGTGAGGTCGAGTCTACAAGTAACTCACCTTGTATGCTTTCGCCTGCACCTCCAGGATGTGCCTCTTCAAGCCTTCGTCATCGTCAATGCCGATTTCCGCCTTAAAGAACGCAGCTTCTTCGGAAGACAAATCGTAAAGGCTGGTGTCTATTGTTGGCAGTGATGCGAATGTTACGTCGCCCAACAACGTCGTACAGTTATCGTGTATAGTAGTAGCCTCCATCGTGATGGGATGTAACTTGTGCTACCATAGCATCGTTTCAAGGTGAAGTACTGACTCTGAGCGTCTCCCCAGGGAGGTGATTAACGAATTTTGATTGGCTGATACAAATGATATGGGCCTAAGCTAAAAAAAAGTTTCATGGCTATGTAGTCAATTATTCAACGTTCAACGTTCAATATCAATCTTGTCCGTCCTACTCACGCGTCAATGATCGCAACTTTTTATTGAGTTCATTTCTCGTCCGTTAGTACCCAAGATGCGTTTCTTTCGGTCACATCAGTGTTTCACGATCCATCATACCATCAGAGAACCGATGAACAAATGAGAAGGTTATTTAAAGCAATATATAATACAGCATCACAACAATCCTCGTATATCTGCTGACCGAATACCTGCCCGTAGAACCCTTATTGATTCATGACCGCCACTCTCAAATAACATGAAGAAGAAAACTTACACTCTTGAATGATGTTCTGAAACATAGTTGTTGTAGTAGGGATCCGGGTCTCCGTGGGCCCATCCAAGATGCAGGTGGATCAATTAGTAGGGAAACTTCCTCACTGCCTTCAAGTTGCCATCGAACCTCATCCGTATATCTTCGGTCACCCCATTCTCTTTTGTTACTCATAGCCTCTGACTGTAAGAGATCCACTAGGTCATAAACAGATGCTTCTAGTTGCCGACGCAGGCGCCGGCCCGGGATCTTAATCCCTTATGCGTGCGCACTGGCTTGCGTTTATCCACCTGACAAACAATGCTGTAGATGCTACCTCTGATTTTTAGCGAGCAATATCCAGCGCATTGTCAAGGACGAGTGTGGCCCGGACACAACCTAACCTGATCCGATGATGTCCATCAGTACGGTGAGCAAACCAACTACCGATACTAGCACTAGTGCTTAAACATTTTAGTCAGGGCAACCTCACCATGAAACTACTAGTAGTTCTCTGTTCTGGCGTGCGCTTACCATCAAGGGCAGTGCTCGACTGATGGTAGACTTTACTTACGTGCTGTAGCGGCGTGTAACATTGCCTCCGGTGACTCATTTCTTGATATTGCGTCAGCGCATCTTGGTGTTTCGGAGCCCTAACGTGAGAGTCGGGGATGCTGCGTCAATTACCATTACGAAGATTGTGCCACTCGTACTGCAAGTCACTGTGATTATCTGCTCAATTGTCTAGCTTCACATAGCCTCACTAGCTGACGTGATCGTTCTGTTAAATATAAAGGGGGGTGCAGTACTATCTCAGGACAAATTGTACCTCTTCAGAAGAAGCTTCAAGATGGAAGGCGCTACTATTCACGGGGACTCCACGATGACGTTGGGCGACATAACATTTCAGACCGCATCAGTCCCAACAGTAGACACCAGTTTCTAGTACAAGCTGTCTCCCGCACAAGCTGCATTCTTCAAGACACAAACCGGTATTCATGATGATGAAGACTTGAAAAGGCATATCCTGGAAGTTCAGGCGAAAGCATACAAGGCGAGTCATTCCCAGAAGACTTTGTAATAAGTCTAATAATCATCTACCACTGATAGGCTGCACCATATCCTTGTATTCATAGATTTGGCTTCCTTCGGTATGTTTTCGGTAGATCTGCATATCACGGAAATTGAACACTCCTCAGCTTAAACTTGTCAAATTTTGCTGTGTATGAACACATCCTTAAGCTTGGTCGCGAGCGCTCCGATGCTGTATTACTCGACATTGGTTGTTGCTGTATGTCAAATCATTATGTACTGTCCTGAATAATATTGACTTTTTTTTTAGTCGGCGTTGACGCTAGAAAGGCTGCGGCAGATGGGTTTCCTGCCAAAAATATCATTGCGTCGGATGTCGTCGAAGGTAATACAGTTTTCCTGTGAACTATCATTCCTGCTAACGATGTGTACGTGCAGAGTTTCTTCAACTGAGTCACGAACTTTTCAAAACGACACCAGCTTCTTACCCCGGATCTCTCCTTCCTGGAGATATCTTCGATCCAGAATTCCTCTCCATAGCCACGCCATCGGTCGACGTCTTTCCGGCACCAGCCATTGATTTGTCCTCGTTGAAATCCCTCAGCCCCCTTCATGGTCGCGTTAGCGCAATAAACGCCATTGCATTCTTCCACCTCTTCAACGAAGAGAAACAATTGTACATTGCCAGGGCTCTTGCGGGTCTTCTGTCTGCTCAGCCAGGCTCCGTAATTTGTGGCCTCGACAACGGAGCTGTTGAAAAGGGCACCATAACCAACAATTTATCAGGTGTCGAGTATCAGGGGTTTGCTCATTCTCCCGAGTCTTGGTCATCTTTGTGGGATGGTGAGGTTTTCGAGAAGGGGACTGTCAAGGTGGAAACGAAGTTGGCAGAAATTCCAATTGATGATAAGGGACACTTGATGACGATGATGATGTGGTCAGTGACAAGACTGTAGATGTGTATAACAGCGGGAAGCATTCGAGGTGCAAGAGACAATCTCCACCTCTACTTGTAACCCTTCCGTCTCTCGGTGAACCTGATCGTACAATAAGCTGACATTGGGTGTGTCTAAGAAATTGAAATAGTTATTCTAACACTTGAAATCAAGTGGTGACATAATTGGCCAAGGGACAGCACATGCACACAACTAAGAAGTTGCTTGATCAAAAAAATCTAATCAGAAATCACAATTATATCCTCATCGACTACCACCCGCGTCCGTGTTGGAACATTCTCTTTTCCATCGTCCGAGTCGTCCACATACATGCTATCATCTGATTCGACGTCAATGACATCTTGTCGCAACGTGGACGGAGCATATTGACGTCGCGTGGAAGCAGGGCCCGGTGCTCTATGCCGGGTGGAGTTTGTGGGCTGGCGTTGGACCGATGCTGGACCGATTCGAGGACGTGATGTCGTTGTGCTAACGGCTGGGACTGCGGACGGTCGAGATGACCCAGATACCGTCGTCATTCCTTGAATACCTTGATGGCGTGGACCCGTCGCCCGCGAAGCATTCATTTGACGCATGTCTCGTATATCAGAACCTAAGCCTTTGGTGCCTGATGGCTTAGAAGCTATCGCCAATGCTTCTGCCTCTATTTTCTCCGCTTGGGCAATCAGTTCATCATCGATGTCTAGGTCCATCAAATCTAAATCGTAATCTGAGGGTGGTGATGGGGCACGGGGTGGTGACGCAGGTTTTGCGGATGGAACATTTCGCTTTGAAGGCAGCTTGGATATGGGCTTTGGAGGTGAGATAGGCGCTGATCCAACTTCAGTTATGAAAGCCTCGAATTCCTCGTCATCCAAGCTCCACGTGGCATCCCGTGGCGCGGGGGAAAGGATCCGAGCCCGTGCCAGTGGGGCAGAGGGATTATCTCGTGGATTAGACCTGTCCGAGGTCGATGACGAAGGGAGTGAGGTGTACAGTGTAGAAGATGTAGAAAAGTATGGCGAGGTGGTCGACGCAAGATTACCTGGAGCAGAGGGAGGCTTGAGCGAAGAGGTTGGTTTAGAGGATGAGACAAGGGTAGACGAGGTGGAAGGAGGGATAGAGTTCGACTTCGAGGCTGTTCGTGCTAAGTTTGTTTTCTGTGCTGCAGCAGATAAGGGTTTCAATCGAACTGCTGGGGTTGCGGTATTGGTCGATGTTGAACCTTCCGGTGGATTACCAACAGGCCGTCTGTTAGCGACAGGAGAAGATGGAACACTAGAAAGTGGGGGTGCCTGCGGCGGAGCCTCGGCTTCAACAGGAGGTTGTGGATTGGGTTCTGGATCGGGTTGTCTAAGGGGTCTCAATTAATTTGATAATTATTTAAACGCAGGGAACTCACCCAAGCCTCCGTCTTAGGCTGCGCAGAAATATTTCATCCTGCATTACCTCGTGGTCCTCTGTTTGATGTCCTTTCAGCTCAATCGTCTGGGGTTCAAGGAAGATAACGCCTCTACGAATCTGTACGTCCTTCAAGAGGATCTAACAGCCGGATTCTATTAAAACGACACAAAGTGACTGACCAACACGCACCTTGTACCCCAGCGGAGTGACGCCAAGTTCAAGCTGTGGTATAGCACGATATTCCACAGCCTCGACAGTTGTGAAACCATCGCTTAACTCGAGACGCAGCATGCCTCTCGGATACTTTGGGACTGGGCCCTCGTCCTCTTCTGCGTCCTCTTCATCCTCCCTAATAAGGCCAGCCAAGTCCGCTCGATCCATGCGATTTTGCCTCACATTCATCAAGCTAAACGCACTAATGCCAATGTCGCTGATGGCACGAATCTCTACAAGACACGGAAGACCTGTAAGACGAGCCCTTTTGATAGTACGGATATTTTGTGGGAGGCCAGTGTTCGGTAGGGTGGAATCTGCGAAGCTGGACTGTAAAAATTGAGAAGTTACATTGGAACTAAACTGTGGAAATTCAGTTGGAGAAAGGGAGTATGAGGACGCGATCCATGAGCAACAGTCACGAAGCCAAACCTGTGGGTGAGTAAATATCATAAATGCAAACCATCAATTAGAATTTTACTGGATCTAAAGCTGGACGTGGATACTGTTCGTTGACCCATTTAAGTATGTTTGCAGGTGCAGCGGGTTCAGTCATCGAAGAAAGCTAAATGATACAAAGGCGCGTCACGACGTCGCGTCTGTCACACCATTTTATGATTTAAGTCACGTGTATCCGAGTCATTTGCTCACCAGAACTGACATGATCTCAGGCGGCCGCATAATACTCCCATACTGCCCGAGGGTACCCCAGAGTTCCCCGTTCATCCTCTCGTCGAGGTGTGCTGGGTTGAGCACCATGGCAAAGTTGCCGCGTTTGCCCGTGCCAGACCTTCGCAAGACGTTAGACCGTTACTTGCAGTCTATTCAACCCTTTTTACGCGAAGACGAGGCACGCGGTCACTCTCTCTTTGAAGCCAGCTACAAGAAACGTGTTCAATGGGTAGATGACTTTGAGAAAGGTATCGGCCGCCTTTGCCAGCATAAACTCCACGGTATATCCTCCCGTTAATCTAACAAAATTCAATTTAACTAAACGTGTCCGCAGAATTGGACGCTCGTTCGCCACATAACTGGCTAGACGATAATATTTGGACGAACTACGCCTACCTCTCATGGCGCGTCCCGCTCCTCATCAATTCTAACTGGTGGCTTACATTCATTAATGATCCCTCCATACCCGAGTCTATCTTGCGCGGTGACACCAAATCAGGTATAGAGCCCTGGCAGGTGCGTCGGGCCGCGTGCATATTGCATCGTGTTCTCGACTGGCGCGCTCGCATGGTTAATCAGCATCCAGACCCTGACACAACCCGTACTGGTGTCTGGCTCCTCACTAATACGGAGAAGATGTTCAACACATGTCGTTTACCAAGAGCTGGAGCAGATGTCCTTGCAACCAGGAATCCGGCATCTGATTATGCCCAGGATATTATGCTTATGTTGCATGATTTTGTGTATACCGTAAGGGTCTGTGAGGATGATCGGACACCGTTGCCTGTACAGACCATTGAGGATCGAATACGTGCGGTAGCACTAGATGTAATTCATAGAATAGAGTCCGGGGAAAGCGCCGTGCCAGTCGGTGTCTTGACCTCGGATGACAGAGACCGTTGGGCAGAGGTCAGTATGTTTTTCGACTCTTATTTTCTTGCTCGTCTCGTGACTAACCAACACCACTTCCGTAGAACTATCAATATTTGCTCTCCCTTTCGCCCACAAATGCCTCGACCTTCCGTGCTATCAACGAATCTATAATGGCTCTTTCCCTCGACCATTACACTGCCATGCCATGGCATTACCCAACCCCTACCTTGCCAAGTTCTTCCCAATCATCTCACGCAAGCATCCCGGCATTAGACTCCGACGCAGAAATCCACGCACACCTCCACAATACCCGCTCCCCTCCCCGAGCTCGGAACAGATTCTTCGACAAATGCCTGACCCTATCATTAGAGCGCAATACCCGCGCTGGCGTAATGGGTGAGCACGCGCCTGTTGATGCCTTAGTGCCCAGCATCGTCTTTGATTACGGTGTCGTTGCTGGTATCGACTTTTCTGCATTCTCGGAGCCTGTTCCGCGTCCTCTTGGTTTAGAAGAGGCTCGTGTGAGTGATAGTGGAAAAGGATGGTCCCGTTTAGATTGGGTGACCGACGAGCGGATCGAAGCTCAGATAAAAGAAGCGGAAGGACGGGCTCAGGCCTCGATCAATAACTCAGAGGCAGGGATTTTTGAATTCGGAGAATATGGAGCAGACTGGATAAGTAGTGTTGGTGAGTTTGTGACTCCTTGTCGGTGTTGCCTCTTTTATTTATCTTCTGGGTCGTCATTTTCCCCCTCTCCCATCCCCCTCTTTCTTTTGTTGCAAAAGTCATTAATCGCTTCACTATTAGCACGCCTTCCACCAGACGCCTACACTCAACTTGCACTCCAACTCGCCTGGTACCGCTCCCGTGGAGTCCTCACAGCGACCTACGAAACGGTCCTTACGCGAATGTTCAATGCTGGCCGTACAGAGTGCGTGAGGAGTGCAAGTGTGGAGGGATTAGACTTTGTTCAGGTTGCTAAGGGATGGGGACGTGGAGCTGAGTGTGTGGCAGAGGGGGGCCAGCACGAAGTGGAGGTAAATTTGTTTTTATACCCTCATAGTGACGACGGGAACTTATGGTTTTTGATACACTAATCTGATCAGCCCCGTGCACTTCATTCCCTCCTCCAACAGGCTATCCGGACGCAGGCAAGGCGCACGAGGGAAGCCGCTATAGGTCGTGGAATCGACAGGCACTTATTAGGCCTGAAGTTGATGCTAGAAGAATTCCCTGTAGATGCGACCACATCTACTTCCTCCTCGGACTCTCCCTCGAAATCAGGCCCCACTGACCCCCCACAAAAACGTACGCACCCTCTCTTCGCCGACCCTCTTTTCTCTCGCTCTCAGGAGTGGAAACTTAGCACTAGTGGCTTGAGCGCCGGTGACCAATTCCGAGGCACTGGCTTTGGAGCTGGTTGGGAGGATGGTTATGGGATTAATTGTAAGTTTGATTCGTTTATTTTACAATTGTTTTGCGGGATTGTCGAACCTCAGTGAGGAATTTTTCGTCTGTAATAGTTTCCCGTCTGCATTTGTTATTCTCGCCGACATCACCATCGGTTGACTAGGTCGACTGAAGGTGTTTCATTTTCGAATATAATTGGCAATTCCGCTCACGCTCACGCTTGCCACAAAACCAAGCTCATACTCTGTTCTCTCACAGATCTCATAGCACCCAATCGCATCAAATTCTGCGTCGAGTCCAAATTCTCGTCCCCGCTCACCTCCACGAATAAGTTCAAGCAACATATCGCAGATGCACTCCGGGATATGCAGGCGATTTGCGAGGCTGGAGAGCTCGAGTTGAAAGACAAAAAGAAGAAATCAGTGGATGGGGCAGACACGCGAGTACAGGCGCGGTTATAGGCCTGGTGGCGTCAACCAAGGTTTGTGCCTTAGCTCGTTGAACACACGGATCCGATACTGATGGAGAGATCATCGCAAGCGATCGGACACCATACAGATTCAGTAGAAGCTTGGATACTCGATCAAGAATTCTACATGCATGAAATGGTTACCAACGATCGACCTCGCTCGTCTGCCTAACTTGTGTTGGCGATCGCGAGGTCCAAACTCCACCAAATTAGCCTACTCTTGTTTGCACAAAACTAAACTATACCTATGTATCGCTCACTATACAATACACCACTCAGACGCAATTGAAAAACTCATTCTTGATTCCAAGAAAAAGAAAAAAATGTCCCTCATAAGGAGTATTGACCGCGCGAGCTATCGTACAGACCAACTACGTATCATACAACTAACCATCATCGCGAAAGTAAATTCTGGTCGAGGTGGTTAACAACTAGCACCTTCGCGGGCCCACCTACAGCGCAATCTTGTCCAAGTCATCCTTTTCGATCCACTCGTGTTCATAATACTCCAACAAGCTGCCCACAAGTGAGTCACACCCTGCCCGCTTCATGAATTTCTGACTGGTGCAGATGATCATGCCTTTCTTGCATCGAGTAAGCATGACATTAGTCCGGCGCAAGTCAGCGATGAATCCGAGCGCCATGGACCGCACGAGTGAGATTATGATATAATCCTCCTCGTTACCTGCCACGAACGAACCATAAATATAACGTTACAAATATATGTTGCGAGAACGAACCTTGAAACGAATCAACGTTGAAACATTTATCTTCCCATTCAAGCTCATTGAGCTTCAAACGCTCCTCGATCAAACTCCGCTGAGCGTCGTACGGGGTGATGATGCGGAATTGCTTATTCTTTGCTTGCAGCATGGCAGCAATGTGGAGAATGGTTTGGCACTCCTCAAGGTTCTGCGCACGACATTAGCCAACTGCGAGTGACCGAATTCAAGTGACTTACCTTCCAACTAGTTCCATGTAACTGTTCCTGGCTGGGAATGTTGATAAAATGACAAGCCATCCTCTCGTTCGTGACAGAATGTTGCGGATTCGACTCGAGCAGGCCATCGTAGACAGCTTCAGATATGAATTGTCCAATTTGAGGCGGCATCCTGTCTACAATAAAATGATAAAATTTGGGATACGGAAACATTAGGTAAAGGACTTACATTGGGTATCCAGGAAAATGGCACGGTCCTTGAGATGCTTGACCTCGAAGATGCTCTTCAGGTCCTGGATATCATCCTGACCATAGGGTGGCACTGAAGATATCAGAACATGTGATAGTACGCAGAAGAAAGACTCACATTGTTTGTCATCACCAATGAAGCAAACCTTCCTGATGGTAGTGTGAGAAGTGAAGAGAGGTATGTAGTCACCGATCTCAATTTGGGATGCTTCGTCGATGACGAGGGTCCTGAGTGGCGCGGCTTTAAAACCTCCATGCATGCGAAGAGCAAAAGATGAAAGCATCGACAGGGTACAGAGAATGACTGGGCTGTTCCGGAGCTCCTGGCAGAAATTTGGAGCCTTGAAGTCCTCCGATATAATGATATTGGCCCGAATCTTGGCATAGAGGTGCTCGTGCCTAGAGTGTATCAGTCTGCCTAAAGGGGGAAAAGTCCGCTAGTAAAAGAACTGACCAGTATTCGAAAAATTCCTTTGAGACGAGAAGCTTCCATTTGGTCAGGCCAATGTCAGCGAGTTTCTCGGCAATGTTTTTGACGGCAACATTGGATTGTGCAATGAGCCAGATGCCAGAGAGTCCACCGGCAAGGGCGGTCTGAACAAATGAAGCAATGACAGTGGTCTTACCGGTTCCAGGGGGCCCCTGGATGACAGTGAGACGCTTGTCATTTGACTGCTGAAGCATTTGCTTCACAGCTTTCGTCTGGGATGGATTGAGGGGGCGAGTGACACGGTCGGCACGGTATCTGACAATATCCGCATCGTTCGCCTCCTCCGTCCAGGCGAGGGGCCATTGGAAGTCGTCCCTTGGAGAGGAAAAGAATATGAGCTGAACCCATGGGTTGTCGTGCTCAAGGTTGATGAGACCTTGGAGGATCTCTAGAACCTTTTGAGCACGCTGGCTCTCAGCCTGAGTAGGGTCTTCACGGCCGACAATCTTGATCGAGCCTATAATCTTGCCGACTAAACTGAGACTGTTGGTGGTAGCAAGGTTGGCGGTGCGACCCTGAGACCTGCCGATCTGTCCGTCGATAGTGAAGCCCAGCCCGTCGCGCCCACCGATATCAATGAATGCATGCTGAGAAAATCGGTTGTCAAGTAAGGCATAGTATGGACACGCGGACTACATGCCTGATGCTGGTTCTTGCGGATTTTGTTCTGGTATCTGTCGACTTGGGCATGGATGCGGTTGTTCCTATGATCGACAGAAGTAGCAAACTGACGCGTGACCTCGGCCGGCTTCTTCTGCTCGAGCTGGAACGAATCCTTCGAGCTCTTCGCGAGAAACTCTAATGCCTGTGATTACGATCAGCGCCATCGTTCATCCAGAAAGCAGTGATCTACCTCGTCAGAGAGCCGGAAGGTATCCACCGGGGGCACTTGCGCGAGACGATCTTCCATGCTTGAGAGCTGTGATAGATAGTGTGCGATCCATGCACGTAGTGCAAGTGGAGTAATGCCATTCTTAGCGGCAGGGGCCACAGGCAGATGATTGATGATAGTATCATCGCAGAATATTCTGTTGATGTTTACATCGTGTACACGATGAAGATCACCAACGGCCTGTTTAACAATGGCGAGCGGGACACGTGTTTTCGATATGCTCTGTATATCGATCGCATTTGCGATTCGAAGATCAAGTGTTTGAAATAGAGCCAGAGCGATCGAAGCGACATCGAAAGCGTATAAGAATCCGGTTGTGCGACGAAGGAGGTTCTGTGTCAAAAACTCCCGAGCGGTGTTGCCTCTCTCACTGGCGGGTGTGACAGGGCGTTCATCGTGTTCGTTGCCCTTGTTCTTCTTCAACTCGAACTCGATACCGATAATAGTGGACGTGTCGGAAATTGCAAGCATCGCGAGCTCTCCAGTGGGCGCAAATCCGCCAGCAAGGCCAAGGGCACGTCCCTCGTTCCTTTCTAACAGACTGCGCAACTGATGTTGCTCTTCGATGAAGTTGGATTCATGTATAATATGGGCCGACAGCTGTCCACTGTCGACTTCCATGAGATGTTGATAGAGCAGTCTTGTTGCTGTGGGCATGATTAATGATGGTGGTGAGTGGCAATGTCTAACGATGGAATGCAACTCTATTTCAAGGTCTGCAATGAGGATCCGGGCCCGAAGCCTCATGACTAGTGGGCGCTTGTTGAGTCCTGACTCCAGCTAGAATTTCCGAGCAGTCCCCGTGGTTCCCAGCCCTTCAAGTTTAAGCGGCCTTCCGAGTCTTTCCATTGTCTATAGGTATCACAATCTCTCCGCAGCCTTTGCCGCTTTGTCCAAAGTGTCGTCCTGACTCTTACCCTGCCAAGCTCTTTTTCTGGCTCCAGAACTCCATGGAAGGATCTAAATGTATCTGTGATTGTTCTCACAGACTCGCCGGTTGGGTAGGTGTTGCTGACCACGACCGCGACTCGCCGAGTCCAAATTTACTCTGCTAGGCGCACTATTTGGGGTCACCATCTATCAGAATGCTGATTGTTATCATTGTCCCCGCAACAAAGGGCGAATGGAAGGAAGATAGCCGTCTTTTGTATGGAGTGACGGTATCCACTTGTTCATTATGGTAGGTTAATTCCTTTGTGCTTTGTGGTAGTCTATTGATCACACGCGCTCTGCCTGTTTACTAACATCATCACGCAACGTGAAGAACGCCCGGCTATGTTATACACAGGTCCAGCACCTGTCTAATGGTGCCCAGATTAGTGGCAGCGCTAATCGTTTAAGCCATCGGCTAGCTCTGTCTACCTTCTGAGCGTTGCTGCGTGGGGTTCTACCATAGAGGGTTCATGCAGTAGTACACTACCCGCTGACGCTTCATACTACAGGACTCTCGCCGTCGGGATATTTTGCTGTGGAGCAGTGACAGATTTCGGGCAGTCAGCACTCAGCACTCAGCGTCCGACCTTGACACTAGGGTGGCCTCCTGCAGGTTTCGACGTACACCAAATAGTTTACATATGCATGTGGTTCAATACAACAGATCTCTATCCTTGATCTACAAGCATGTATATACACCAATTGCCATATAATACAAAATGCAGTGCGATATGCGACAAGAAAGTCCCAAAACTCAATCAAGAAGTGCGACAGTGCAAATAGTCCAAATCACCTTATGATACCATTGACTATGTCACGACTGTCCAACCAGGAATCAGGGCCCATGGTAAGAGCAAGCTGGCCGACAAGGGTGCTTGCTGCTTTACCCTTCGTCACGAAATCACGGTTCGTGCAAATGATCATGCTTTTCTTGCATCGTGTCAGCATGACGTTCGTCCTGCGCGAGTTCTTCAAGAACCCTACACCCTGGGTACGGACTAGAGAGACAATTATGTGGTCTTCCTCGTTTCCTGCGGGGGGTGTCAGTCAGATCCTTCCAGCATGTCAAGGAAACTACTGGCCTTGGAAGGAGTCCACATTGAAGCACTTGTCTTCCCACGGAAGCTTCGCTAATTCGAGTTGATGTTCGATCGTAGACCTCTGGCCATCATATGGGGTGATGATCCTGTACTGCTTGCCCTGGGTGTTGTATATACGGGCAAGGTGGATAATCACGGATATCTCTTGTTGGTTCTGATGCAAACGTAAGGCAGGCATATCACAACATGAGGAGAAGCTTACTATCCAGCTCTTTCCCGATTTCTGCTCCTGGCCCCTTTTGACATCTAGGAAACGACACGCATTCTTGCTAGTGATATCGTGCACGGTCATCAACTTGTGACTGTATACATGACGGGAAATAAAGCTGCCAATGACGAGTGGCATGCGGTCTGAATGATAAAGTTCAAATGACGAGGGGATGAAGTCGAGTTACGAGCTTACATTGGGTGTTCAAAAAGTGTGCCCGCTTTCGAAGGTGCGGGAATTCAAAAACACTTCGTAGCTGCCCGATGTCATCTTGGCCAAAAGGCGCCACTGATATCCAAGTCAGTACAGGTCAGCCATGTTATAACTACCTGGGTCTCACGTTGCTTGTCATCACCGATGAACACCATTTTTTGAAGGCTGTGCTGGAAACGCTGAAGCAGCGGCAGGTAGTCTCCCACTTCGATTTGACTTGCCTCGTCGAATATCACGGTTTGAACCGGGACTTGACGAGTAAATTCATCGATACGAGGATTGGACAGCATACTCAATGTGCAAAGTATGACTCTTGTAGGTTCGTTTGTGTGTTGGTTGAGCAAAAGCCGGCTAATGGCCAAAGGCCCACCACCAAACAAGTCGGATCGTATAAAACAATGTTCCAGTCTCTCGTAGAGGTGTTCATGCCTGAGATACAAAGACTCAGTATACGAGGAGGTGAGGAAGGCGTAACATACCAGTCGTAATGGAAATCTTTGGATACAAGAAGCTTAAAATTACGAAAGCCAACCTTATCAAGCTTTTCTGCGATATTCTTGACAGCGACGTTGGACTGCGCCACAAGCCAGACCGTACGTTCCATAGGGCCACTGTGGATCATACTGTTGACACTGGCCGCTATGACTGTTGTTTTTCCAGTGCCAGGAGGACCTCGAATAAGCAATACACGATCACTGTTCGCTTGCGAAATAATTCGCTCCACCGCAGAATACTGCGAGTCGTTCAATTCGCTGTTAGGATAGTATACGAATGATGCGGTGGAAGCATTCAGGGGCGGCCATGAGATGCTTAATGATGGCGCCCAGATGCTACAGAAGAATGGATGATCGGTCAATGTGATGGTGCCTTGAAGCGCCTTTAGCACTACATCTTCTCTGTGTGATTCAGCAGCCGTCAAGTCTTCTTTCCCAAAGGTGGTCACGGAGAGGACCTTGCCCGAAGGATTTGCAACACCTTGGACGTTAATATGAGCCTGTTTTCCATTTATTCGCCCTGCGCGACCAGTGATCGTGGACCGCTTATCTCCATTCAGCGTTTCAATGTGGATGACCTGTAAGTGCGAACGTTTAAAGTTGGTGGCATGGCATCTCATGAATTTGCATACTTGAGTTTTAGACCTCATGATACGCGTGCTGAAGCGAGTGCACTCGAGGTTGACATCGCCCTTCTTGGAGCTGAAGTCTGCTTTGACATTGTTGACGACTTTCGTTGGCTTCAAAGACTCCAAAATTTCAGCGTCACGAGAAATTTTAGCCAGGGCGCTCAGATGCTACATCATAGATTAAAAGGAGATGTCTATGACATGACGAAGATTACATACCATCTCTAGCATCGTGTCTGTGTCGATTCGATGTATGGCAGCAAATCTAAGCGCCATGCTATCAAGTGTGGCAGCGCAATGTGTTGCCCAAGCCTGGAGCGCCACATCCTTGGATGCTCCTTCTCCTTCTCTGTGAGCAAACAGGGTTTTCACGTTGTCCTTCTGGAGTAAAACCTCGCCACCCAAGGCGTTCATAATTGCCTGGAGGGAGCGCCGATCACTGGTAGACACCGACAGGACGTCAACTGCACCATTGATACGAAGCGAGAAGTCTCGGAAGAGAGCAAGTGCAATTCTGTCTATCCTGTACCCATATAGTTTAATGCCAATGTTACACAGAATTCGGTCTTGTATGAGGATGCGTCCTCGAGAAACAGGAGGCTGTGGTTCCTGGCCTTTCTTCTTCTTCTTCTGCTCCTGCTGCGGATTTTGTTTATTCGCAGCAAAGAAGTGGATGACGAGCACCCTGGTGAGCGTTGCAAATGCTAAAGAGGAAAGAGAACAGTCTGGGCGATACGCAGCTGCCACACCGACGGAGGCGCCTGAAGCTGAATTGATAATGCGCTGCAAGGCTAGAAAAGAAACACTGTTCTCGTCGACGTCTTCAACGGTTATGGGCTCATGATCGGCCTTATAAACGTTCTGTTGCAGAGTGAAGAATGTGTGAGTCATGGATGTCCTGAGAGGGAGAAAGCGCACGATGTCAATGCGCTGAAAGTGAGGATGTAGGAACGTGATAAAAGGCTACAGCTATTTATTGCTGGACGGGCGTCTACTGTGAATGAATGGTAACGGCGTTTTACAGCAAGTCAGCAGTGAAAGGGGGACGCATAGTAGGCTGTGCCGGTGCTGTAAGAACAAAGCATAATTAATGGGTGTTTTGTGTGTCCAGTATCCCAGACTCCACGGTAACTAGATCCAAACCCATTCACTGAGCGTCTTTCAATTGTGTCCAACTTGTAGGTGCAAACAACAACATTGAGGTGAATTTGCGCGTAAGCAATTGATGCCAGGCTGAAGGCAGTGTGAGAGTCAAATTCAAGAAAACCGTGAGGCGACAGTGACCAAATTTAGCACAGCCACGCCTTGCTCTCTTCTTTTCATCTCATGGCAACTCCTGTAATTGTCGGTGTTGGAGCTATCACAGCTGCTCTCGTTGGTCGACATCTTGTACGCAATGGCATTATTGGAAAGCGGGCAGCAGACCAGTGGGTTAAGGGTGGTTTTAAAGCGAAAATGGACCGCAAGGAGGCTATTGCGATTCTTGGGCTAAAGTTTGCACTTTTCACGCTCTATCACCTAGTGTTTGATTGCCAATATCTTTTACAGGGACGGCGTAACACTACGAAACAAGTTGAAAGATGCCCACCGTCACATTATGCTCGCAAACCACCCTGACCGTGGGGGCTCTCCATACTTGGCGAGTAAAATCAACGAAGCCAAAGACCTGTTAGACAAGACAGATGGAAAGTCGAGATAACTTTTAAATTCTCTTACGTTGGTTACTCACTATACCGGTAAGTCATTGCCAAGCTCTTGAACCGGGAGAATTACTCAGATATTTCAAGTCTACTCTGTATTTCTATCTCTATATATCCATCATAATGAATATCATCACTCACTCCTTTAAATGGTCCTGGCTCGCTATACTACCTGCCGTCTGATTCTGCTTCTTAGAATTCCTTCACATATTTATCAAGTATCGAGACAACCACCTTGTCCTGTTGACCGGCTTACTAAGCAGCTTCATTCTGTGACGATTGGTTAACAACTTACTTCAATTCCAAGATCAGTCCTAAAAACGTTATGGATACATCAGAGCTCGAGCCTTCAAAGCTCGGTACGAAAGAACAGTAGGCGTGTTCAACTTCTGTGCAAACTCGTGGGCCCCATCACTCATCGATAATCAGTTGGGATAACGTTTACGAAGAAGAATTGGAGAACTTCAGTGAAAATGGTGACGAGGGTGAAATATGGTGCGTATTCACATTACTTCCATTGCATCTATACTTCTACCGCCTAGGTTCGGCAAAAAGGCGATGAATGAAACGGTCAAATGGGTTAATCAACATGTCCCATCACGCCCTGATATGTCAGTCCTGGAAGTTGGAAGTGGGAACGGTGCACTATTATTCGCGCTTGCGGAGGGACGTGGAAAAGCTTGCTATCCAGCGCATCGACTCCTGGGAATTGATTATAGTGAAGGAGCCGTCCAGCTCGCTCAATCGGTGGCGCCCTCTCGAAATCTTACGGCAGTTACGTTTAGAGTGTGCGATTTCCTGCACGAGGACCCACCATTACTTGCAGATGATCAGAAAGCTGACCAGAATGGAGCTTGGGATCTTATCCTTGATAAAGGCACATACGATGCCATCGCGCTGATGGAGAAGGACAAGAATGGAAGGACCCCAGTAGAAGGTTATCCGATACGTATCGCGAAGCTCTTAAATCCAGGCGGGCATTTTCTAATTACATGTGCGTATGTATCGTGCCACTTGACTGTAAAACTGAGAGCCCTTCAATCACCCCAGCTTGTAATTTTACCGATTTCGAGTTAGAATCGAAGTTCATTACCGAAGAAACCGGCCTGCAGTATCAGTATGTGGCGCTCATTTCATAACGAACTAGATGCTGATATTCCCCAAAAAGTTCTCGTATAGAACATCCAACTATTTCATTCGGCGGGAGCACCGGGAGTGCATGTTCTAGTGTGGCATTCACCAAACCTGCGTAGTTAAGCATTGTTAGATTTTGGGGATATGGTCCATCCCAGTCTGTAACGTCTCTTTTGCCACTGAACTAGCCCAAGTCAAGAACCCATCCTCTCCTTTGAATGTATTAGACATGAAGAATACCAATCCAAGGCCCAGGTTTTCGATCCTGGATGCCTTTAAGAAGATCTCTTCGAGTGATCCACGGTTCCTCATGGAAGGATAGTCCTTGGAGTCGTTGCTGAGCATCGGTGATGAAACCTGGCTAGCGATAAATAGTTGTATGAACAACTCTTTCAAAAAAGTGCGTGTCTGTGGCTTGAGCATCGTGAAGTCCACAGGCTGTAAGACCCTCGTTTCAGCAACTCCTTGCGTCAACTGTGCCCAGGCTCACCTTGAAGATGGTCAGCGTACAACAATCTTTGGCTATCCACCATGCGTATGCTTTGGAGACGTTCTTCATTCGCGAAGGCGACATGGATTTAACATCAAACCCTACATCGTTATCTTTCAGGCTCTTGATTACCTCTGCCCCACCAACGCTACTTTCACCCAAGTCTCGAAGAAAGTCCCATAGACAGAACTGCAACGTGATCTTGTACGAATGCGAACGCTGAGACAGGTGCTGAGAGACAAGTGTGTAATACGGGTTATAAGATTTTTCCTGCGAAATTGGTTCAGCGAACGATGGCGATGCAAAATCCTATGGAATCCCGTACATTTCCGCAGCAATGCAGGTTTACTCTGATGATCTCACGTTGCTGCACTTCCGTGAGGCCGAGTTGCGCAAGTCGTTCGCAAGCGTCCAGATAGTCCTGCAAACAGGAAATGAGATTTGATAGCAGGGATACGGCGTCAATACCTACATCACTGCTCATGAGCACCACAAAAATACTTCGACGAATATCTGTATTCATGCCCTGCTTTCTTGCAAGCTTTAGAAGCGCGGTAGTGCTGACGTCACCTGTCTCCATTTCCCCACCATGCTGGGGAACTTCGCGCGACTGATCGGCCAGAGGATCTCCGGCCCAAGCAGCGCCAATGAGCCACCACTTTCCTTTGCTTTCTGCCGAATGGAGATCCTCCAATGTGACGCGTAACGGCTCGTGAGCGAGAACTGCATCCGCCTCAGCGTCATCCTAAATCACCCAACGGAGGAACGACTTACTGTGCTTCTTTTTTCCCAAGCCTGAGAGGAACTTCTTCATCCGCTCGACAGCATCGCCCCCCTGATGCTGTGTTGCAGCTGTCTTCTTGATTTTATTGTTCTTCAGGTTATTTAGGGTCTCGATCATGAACCGCGTGCGTGAACTGTGTTTCACAGTGAGAAGACGGTAATAAAGATAATGAGATGCGGTAGTACCTCATGGTATCGGCTTGTCCGGTGACTCGAGACTGTGCTAAAGTTATGATGTCCTTCAATGCCATAGGATCATCTTGTCGTAGCTGTTGGCCGGAACCTAGCACAGGTTAAGATGCGATGAGGATAGATACTATCGGATTTACTTCGAAGAAGTTTCAGCAGGAGTTCTACCCGGAACTCAGATAGGTCTTTATCCAAAAGGCCGCGAATGATATCATAGACGAGAATGCACGAAATGACTTGAAAATTGTACAGCTCTGACAAAAGCACGATGAGGTTGGAGCACTCTTTTCCTAGGTCTTCAGGGATTTCCGTTGACTCGGCTAACTTTTCCTCCACCGAAGTGAGGTGTTGTTCATACGAGGACACTGTATTCTGAACAAAATATGCCGCTGAGTGTATGACGTGCATCAGCTAAGGTGGTCGAAGGTCATTTCACAAGACACGTACCAAACGCAGTGCCGATCAATTTATGTAGGCTAGATATAAACGCGGCGTGGAGAACCACATACGAGTCCAGAAGAGTTGAATGAGATGATGTGCCATCAATGATGAGGTTCGTGAGGGTTGAAGTGACATCTGAGGGAAAAAAATATGTGCCACGTTCAGTGCAGATAAAATAAGCACAAACCATGCCGGCGGTGATTGCGATACACGTCTTCTATGCTATCTAGGATGGTTGCAATGTTTTGTTCAGACATTCTAAGGCGAGGTAAATCAGTACAGACCACGACAATACCATAAGAAGTTACCTGTTTATCAGACCTTTCAGCTGGCGAGTGAGTTTGAGTTGTTCCTCTGTTTCATTTGTATCGCCATTAGCTTGTTTCCTCAATCCCGGCGGGATATAGCGTCCTGTGAAGTAGGGTGGAATCCAGCCCAAAAATTATACATGTAGGAAAACTGACCAGTAACCTTAGGTTGCATGTCGGAAGGCTCGTCTTCTTTCGTCTCTGTCACCTCATGGTCATCATCGTCCACCGAATGATCACTTTCCCCAGCTTCAGTTCCGTCGTTCTTGCTGAGCTCGTCAAGGCCACCCCACTCTTCATCTTCCCAAGATCCATCACTTTGGTCTTCCGCACATGTTGATTTATCCTCATCCTCCACTTCGTCATCCAAATCTGAGTCCTGCGTGGACTCAAATACCACACAACGCATAGCTGCAAAGTAGACTTACTGGCATCTCAGTCATGATTTTCTCCGTAAAGTCAAATAGATCTACAGAAAAACTGTGAGACACATTCACTGGTAAAAGATGCAATAAAACATACCTCCTAGTCCATCCATGTCATCATCCTTACGACGTGAATCACCTCCAGCATACCCCAGCTTTGATTCAAGGTACGCGATATACGCATCTTCTTCCTCTTCTTCGCGACTTCGAGGGCCCGTAGATGCAACCTTATGGGATTTAGCAACCGATTTATTTACGAGTCTCTCTAGCGCAGTGGTTTTGAATTTTTGCTTCGGCACAGACTCGGTGGTGGTATGCGGTTCCTCAGGCCTAGGACGCGGTAGTACCTTGGTGGCAGCCGCATCATGAGACTTTGAGGCAGGTGGTCGAGAAACTGACTCTTGTGACGTCTTCATGCGCTTTCTCTGCGGTGAATCGACGTGTTCTTCTTCCGTCTTCCGTTTGGCTGAGTAAGGGCTGTGTATGAAGTGATCCGCCTTTCTCTTTTTACGATCCGTTCGCTCTTGCTTTCGCGCATCCTTGCGTGATGCATGGGAACGACCACTTTTGTGTCGATGAGAGCTCTGCTCTACATACATCGTCACGACTGGCTCAGAGACAAATTTTGTATGAGCTCACCTGTGGTATTGATCTGTTCAAGTAAAGACTTAGGCAGGCTGATGCCATGCCGTCTCTGACCCCCTGGGCGATGCATTAGATTTGAAGTAATTTTTGAGGTGTCACATGTCATACTGAATAGGAAGGTGATCAGATAGGTGTTTGCGCTTGTTGAGTAGCACCTTTAGGATCAAATACGGATAAACAATATCCAAGTGATCTACTAATACGACATAAGTACCATAGTAACGTCCATGAAAGTAAGTACATATAAGTACAAAGAAAGTACAACAGCAATGGGTGGTATGGATGGATGAGGGGATTATGTAAAGTACATAGATGCAGCAGAAATTGTTAACAAGAAAAGAGACATCATCGCGGGTCGATAACTTCTACAACAGATTCAAGAACCACCTTGGGTCGCAACAGTATACGCCGATCTATGCTTTCTTCCGAAGCTGGCGCGTCGCTCGTAGCTTTTCTTGTCGAGCAACGTAAGCCTAGCTCCGTTGTACACAGAACAACGCCATCCGACGATCCATAGTCTTCAAACGCATCTATCATCTCCTGCCCGTCAAACAGCTGGCCACTATCCGCAGCGATAACCTCGAAGTTCGCCGACATAATCTCCTCCCTCGTCACTTGCGCTAGCCTGCAAGCGGCCTTCGAAATCCGTTTGACTTGGGCCCCGAAGCATGCACGGAAGTTCTCGCGCGAAGCCGGATTGGGCTGGGGATTGGTACTACCAGAGATGAGAAAAATGTCTAGCGACCAACGGAAGATCGTTTCCGTCATCTCATTGATTGCGTATTCATTAAGTTCGGGGTGGAGCTCATGAATGTGTTTATGAGTCAGCGCTCTCCATCGTGACGAGGTTGGCTGAGGTTCTGAGGTGATATGAGCAAATCGCGGACAACGAAATGTTTTAGGAACCCACCTGAGTGGAACATGTGGGTATAGATCTGGGTCAGGGTGATGTTGGCCTTGGACTGGTAACCGATGCAGAATGACGATAGTGCTCTAGATATGCAGTACGAGATGCAACCCTGAAGAGCTAGTTGAACAAGCATAGGATCTTGGGAGTGATCCCGAGTTGCCAATAAGCGACTCAGGGCAGCACCCAACCTCGTGGCAACTTCGGAGGAAGCTTGCGTAACCTTTGCTGAGTTAGGGCGCTGCTTCGAGAACGTGCAAAGTTCTGTGGCAGATGCTGCAAACTGAAGAATTTCAGAGTTGAGATCTTGTACAGCTTGTATGACCTGTGCTCCAGACCACAAATCAATCTTGTTCAAGAAGGTTTCTAAGCTGCGAGACTGGGCTCGCTCTTCCTCGGACACGGTAGACATGTTGTCTGGGTAAGGGTCGCTACCATTGCGGCGATGATTGCCGTTGGCCTGCGATAAGGTATCGTCATGGATCTCTGACCAGTCAGCGCTCAGTCGGATCTGCCGAGACTGAGATGAGTCTGACCGCTGATGTGCAGGATCACAGCTTCGTCGACGATCGAAGTGAGTGGAACGGAAATGATGCTCGGGTGAGTGCCTTTCGCGCTCCTTAAGCACTTGGATCTCCTTGTCTCTGACCTTCAAAAGGTCTCTCGTTTCTTTGAGGGTCTTCTCGAGGGTTTTATACCTCTCCTCCCAGCGAGCGACTTCTGCTTGTGTTTTGGATAGTTCGTTTTTTATAGCATCGTTTTCGCGGCGCATTGAATAAAGAGTAGAGGCTGCAACGGAGGCGCCAACCGAGGGATTACAAAAGGACGAATTGTGAGAGTCAGTACGTTCGGCAGCATCCAATCTGTCACGTAATGAAGGGGACTCTTCGTCTGCAGACGCAGACAGGTTTCTCGGTCTCGGTGTCGGGTCTGTCGGCGTCAACGGAAAGGATAAGTCGGAGACAGTGTTTTCAGCGCTGAAAGCACTGAAAGAAAAGGAAGGACTAAGCGAGGTAAAGAATTCGAAGGTTGATTGGTACAAGTCTTTGAGATTCAAGTTAGCGATAGGGAGCATGGCGGCTGAACGTCGGACAACCAAACACCGTTTCAGCGTGTTGCTTTAAGCCTAATCACTGGCTCAGTTATATGATCTATGCGTTAGCGAAATTTTATGGGGAATCATATGAAGTTAGATATAATCACTGACAAGTGCCTAGGCTCTGCTGCAAGTGCCAGCTGGTTCCAACCAAATCCCTGACAAGGATTCCCTCCTCGGGCAATCTCTGGGCGGCCAGTACAAGCAAGGTTCCCAAGCCCTATTTCCAGCGCAACACGAGGTTCTTCTTAAGCCTCGAGGCAGTTGCGTTTTTGTTCGTGGAAAGCCAATGGCAGAAGGATGTACGTGATCATCCTCGTGGTAAACTCCAATTATCTTCTTGCTGATTCACTTCATTTGATTCTCATTCTAGCCCTTGTCAGTGCAGCATGCACTGCTGACACGCTGCGATCATTTTCATCGTAGCCTCGTGTGGACTGCCTTTATTCGAGTCACCCGCCCCGACTTAGCACATAGTACATATATGGCCTCATAAGCTCATATCTATCAACAATCCGACTTTCTCGACATTATCTACACCCGGCATGAAGCCAACTTCTGACACGCGAAAGCCCTATGGTGGCTCCTCGCGTGCACTAATCATCGCTCTTGACGTCGGAACCACTTTCAGTGGTGTATCGTATGCCCTACTCGAACCAGGCGAAGTCCCAAAAATCCACGGCGTCACTCGGTGAGCATCTCGTTCCAATGGCGCGTACCCTCTGACGGAAAACGCGTCCGCCCTTGTCCTGTCCAGTTTCCCTGGTCAAGAACATGTGGCTGGCAATTCCAAGATTCCCTCTGTCATGTATTACGATAAGCATGGCAGAGTCATGGCTGCTGGCGCTGAGGCAGACAATGCTTCCATAATAAGCCAGGCTGAGGACGAGGAATGGATCAAAACGGAACTGTATGTGTACATTCCTTCCCGTACGATCAAATTTTGACACTGCTGCTTACCAGCTTCAAGCTTCGCCTCCGGCCGAAGAGTATGAAATTGAAAATGAATGGGATGCGTCTGAGTCCGCTGCCACGACATAAAACTTCCGTTGATGTTTTTGGAGATTTCCTTGCCTATCTCTTTCGCTGCACGAAGAGTTTTATCATAGACACACATGCTAACGGCCAGACCCTGTGGCACCATGTCGAATCCAGCATCGAGTTCGTGCTGAGCCATCCCAACGGCTGGGAAGGTGCTCAGCAGACGAAGATGCGACGCGCTGCTGTGTATGGGGGTTTGATTCCTGATATGGATGAAGGCCGAGCGCGAATTCGTTTCGTCACGGAAGGAGAAGCTAGTCTTCATGCGTGTGTCCAGAGCGGTCTTGCTGCCGATGTCCTTTCTGTGTGTATTCCGAACATATCCCACACATGAACTTCTCGTCTGACGTGTACCCTAGAATCCGTCTAGGCACGGATTCCTTGTAGCTGATGCGGGCGGCGGCACGCTTGATATCAGTTCCTATGCAGTCCGAGGGACCAATCCCCTGGTAATCGAAGAGGTGGCTCCTCCCGATTGTGAGAATACACTGACGCGTCCTCTTGTCTATTTTCGTATCTGATCATTTGCTTCCGAAGGTATATTTGCTGGATCTGTCTTCGTCAGCCGAAGGGCAAGGGAGTTTTTGGAAGGTGAGCTATCTTTAGTTGCATTATACACAAGGCATCATCTCATCCTGCGTGCAGAGAAGCTCAAAGGTTCGAAGTACGGCACTTCCGATTCGATTGACCACATCACCAAACGCTTCGATGAGACCACTAAACGGCTATTCCGAGACAAAAAGGATTTACAATTCGTTCCATTCGGATCTCCACTTGACAAAGATCTTTCAGTTGGCATCCGCGGAGGCCAGTTGAAACTTGATGGGTAAGTAGGCGAACAAACATTCATTATGCTTCCAAAAATAACGCTTGATAGTGCGCAGGTGGCAGAGTTCTTCGAGCCTTCTGTCCAGGCGGCGATCACGTCGATCAAAGCCCAGGTTGACGCATCGCAAGGGATGATCAAAGTATGTTACTCTTCACACTCAACATGAGGCCTTAATGATCGCCTTTTCATAGTCCGTCTGGTTGGTGGGAGGATTTGCGGCCAGCCCGTGGCTCTTTAGTCAATTACAGGAACGCCTCGCTCCACTGAAGATCACTGTGAGCAGACCGGACAGCCAGACGTAAGAGGCTAAATGATCATCCCTGTATTTATCTCTCTAATATTGTACGACTTAGTTCAAAAGCTGTGGCTGATGGTGCACTTGGCTTCTACTGCGATCATCATGTTTCGGCCCGGATGTCGAAATTCATGTATGGGGTGGAGTACCTGCGTGAGTACGATCCCAACGATCCGGAGCACCAGTCTCGGAAAGATCGACTTTGCGAACTTCCATCTGGTCCTCGGCTTCTGCCCGATGCGTTTGACTGTATTCTTGCTCGAGTATGTTTGCAGTGATTTCACTGGAACGTGGGCTGACTTAACGAATGTGCACATTTGCAGTGTGTGAAGGTTAAGGAATCTACAGTGTTCTCGCGGAAGTATTGCACGGAACTTACCAATCTGTCTACCCTTTCTGTGTTCGAGGTAGAGATATGGTGCTATAGAGGTGGTGACACGATTCCGCAGTGGATTCTACGCCATGCAGGTGGGTATCCCTGAACATGAGTCCGAATGCCGCGCTGATCCATGACCTTCCATCCTTTCACTGACAGAGGACTATTCGACATTGTGTGTAGTCCGCGCAGACCTGTCGCTCCTCAGCGGAAGTGCAGAGCCTAAACAAGGCAAGAATGGCAAGACATACTGGACGATCGTGTTTAGCGTCGAGATTCACTTTGGTCTCACCGAGTTCAAAGCGCGCATAAAATGGAATGATAACGTGAGTGATTTCCATGTATTTTTCTTACGTGTGCTAAGTTGGTTGTAAAAATCTTAGGGAACGATCAAGTAGTATGTGAAAATCTGCATGAAGCCAGTGATATCTCTAATTTTGCCTATAGTGGACCTGCGTCTATCGTGTATAGTGAGAGCGGCCACCGTGCTGACGAAGATGAACCGGACATCTCAGAGGATGACTACACCCCATCGCGTGCTGGATCGGTTGCGCCGTCACGCTCTCATTCCGTTGCGCCATCACGCTCTCATTCTGTCGCTGCCTCTCGCGAATCACTCGCTTCAGGTACCAGGACTCCTCTGGGAGCCTCACGAGTGGAGGCCACATTCATAGAAGTCCAAGAGCGTAGCCGGACGAGTGTGGTCTCAACTCAGTCATCCGTTTCCAAGGTGTCCAGTCCCTCGCCTCCGACCCCAACAGCCACTGAGCGTGGGGTGAGAAGCAACACGACGTCAATATCTCAAGTCACGGCTGAACAAAGCACCCGGGAGGTCGAGCGACAACGGACAATGTCTACCGCATCCAGGGTCTCCACAGTAGTTGGGAACGCTGCTGAGCGAGACCGCAGGATTTCGACTGCTTCGAAAGTTTCTGTCTCGGCTGTTTCTCAGCATGTCCATACAGCTTCTTCCCAGCAAACACTCCTAGCCACTTCCCAGCTTTCCCCTCCAGCTGTCGCCCAGCCTGCACCTCCGGCCACCGTCGAAACCCGCGGACGGGAGGCTCAACCTCCTGCTAAAGACAAAGGCAAAGGGAAAAACAAGACCCCCAAGACCACCGTACCTCCTTCCCCAATTGATCCAGCTGATACCACCGTGGGCAAGAGTCCAGGCCAGCTAGCAGAAACCCTTACAGCTGTCTGGGGTTCTGCTTCCAAGGCGAACACGCCTGGAGCCTCGCCGCTGGTTCAGACCTCCAAATCTCTCGAGCCAACCACGCCGAAGACCGAAGCTCCCCCTCCGCTGTCTCACAAAGCGACGCCAAAGACTGCAGAGGTCAAGCTTTCAGAGCCATCTACACCTGCACTCGGAGAAGCCCACCACTCGATGTCTACCACTGTCGTCTCTGAAGTGCATCAGGAGACAACGAGAGAGCTCTCGGTTCAAATTACGCAAGAGACACGGATGGAAGGTCCGCCGTCGTCTACCACGCCGGCAGATACAGTTCCTACTGAGCTTATCTCTACGGAAGCTTCCCGGGATCTCGCCGCGATTGCGGAAGTTTCAGAAGTTGTGGTTGCCGAGCAGCACACAGAGGTTTCAGAAGTTGTGGTTGCCGAGCAGCACACAGAGATTTCAGAGGCCGTGGTTACCGAGCAGCACACGGAGACGGCTCTTAGTGTCACAGAGACACAATCCAACGTTCTGGGTATTGACATTTCTGTGCCCACACTCGAGCTCAATCTCACGTCGGAAGCACCATCTGCATCAGTGAATGACACCAATGGCGATGGTGGTTGGAGCCTCGATGAGGCATGGGGTCAGCAGTCCGCTGAACAGACAGAGCCAGTTAGTTCCCCTGCTTGGGGTTCTTCTGGTAGCACCGGATGGGGCTCGAGTATAAAGGCCACCACCGGATTGGGGGTGAGATCAAGCTGGTCTATGCCAGCTACATCTACCTTTGGAGGCATCGGTTCTACTCTCGCAGGATTTGGTAATCTCCTCAGCGCTGATGGCAGGAAAAGTTCCAAGTCCTCGCCGAAACCTGGTCCACCCTTACTTCCAGCCGAACCCATTTCTTCTCTTGGAAACCTCAGCTCTCTTTCGGGATCAATCAGTAACCTCGTCGGTGACGACAAAAAGAGTCTGATACCCTCACTGAATCCTGATGCGTCCCCGCTTCCACTCCCTCGCGCTCTTTCCAATGCAGGCGACGCTGATCCGCCCGCTGCTCCAGTACAGGCGACAGAAGAGCCTCCTGCACCAACTGAGGCGCCGACCAATGTGGCGGACGCTGTAGTACCGACCACAGACGAGACAGTACCACCCCCTACTGATACAGTGACAACTGAAGAGAAAGCGGAAGAAAAACTTGTAGAACCCATCCCTGCCCCTGGAGAGTCGGCCGTTCCGACAGGGGATGGAGAGGGTAATGATCCCGAAGAGGACAAGGAGGAGGCTGATGGCAAGAAAGCGAAGATAACTGCCCCGCCGATGAAAGCAGCTAACAGCAAGGGAGGGAAGAAGAAGAAGAAGAAGTGAAGTGCAGGCACTCGTACACAGATCTCCCCCGCTTCATGATATTGTTCATCATTTACTCTACGTCTGACGAACTTGTGATACTGCTATCCTTGTAGCTAATAATTTTGATACCTGTAGCTTTTGAGTCAAGGCCTCGGTTCTAGTCTTGCAGGATGAAATAGGAACGGCAATATGATACAAAGTATTCATCCACTTGTCATGTTCTTTGGTGAGTACTGGTATAGAAAGCGTACTGCAAGCCTCTTTCAAGTTAGGCACTAGGAGAATAGCTATGCACGGCAGTCATTCAACGAGCAGGTTCACGAGTATCAGCCTTGCCAGCGGTAGTACAAAGCAAAGGTAGCAATATCCAGCCTTCAAGCTCAGGCCTGGGTTGTCGAGTATGGACAGGTCCAAGATTCTCGATAGCCATAGAGCCTATTAGGTGTTGTCTTAGCAGCATATCAGGTGCGCGAAATCAATATCCATGTAACCCATCAAGTATTGAGATGAGCCGTCTTCGTCCGGTTGTACAGTCTGTATATCGGGCGCCATACAATGATACAAGTATACGGCACCCCATGCCCAAGCCTCTTATTGGTATCTGCATCACTAAAAACCACTAAGCATGATATGACAGTATTCACCTTATAAGTTGGGCGATGTCTGATTTCCCCTTATATGCCTATGTCGTGGTGTGTATAGCACCGGCTTAGATTTGTGATGTGTTACTTATCTTGTCTTTTGCCTTTTGTTTTGATGAATCAAATGTAAACCCATATCGACCGCTAATCTAGTGTTCCAAGTTCTACATTGCGCATCTACGACACGGGTCACATGATTGTGTGTTGATCTGTTTCTTCATCTAGCTTCTTGCTGATAAACCATTATAACCCCATGTTAGATTCCAAGCCAGTGTTCTAGCATCTACAACTTGAACAATACTGGACCTAGGCGAAAAAAGGGAACAGCCCGAACCCAACCTCGAGCTTATTGCCAAGTATATCAACACAGGCAGGCCGTCGCCGTCATCCTTCTCGTCCCTCAGGCCTCAACAACAACAACACGGCACGCCGGCACCAGCAAGCTCCGCCGAACGAAGACTTCCTCCCCTCCCTGTCATTCAACAAACAATGCAAGACTTCTCTGTCTCCTGTGTTGGACTCGAGCCCACTCTCGACGCTCGTTCTCATGATTCTCGCTCATTCACGTTCTCACTTGTCATCATCTGCATGGTGCATTTTTAAGCAATTTTTATTTATTTTACATATTACTTGATGTCTTCCTGCTTGTCTCGTCCATTTCCTCTCTCTCGTTCTCGTTCTCCTCCTTGTCTTCTTCCCTTCTGCTCTCGTCCATCGTCCGTATTCGTCTGAGCCACATCAGCAGTCGCTGACGTGTGCTGGGCGTTTGCGCATGGTGTTCGTGGCATTGGGAACGGCATGGTGGAGTTCAAGCATTGATTCAGCATGCGGACTGCGGCTTGCATGGGCCCAAGCCGGGCCGGGAACATCACTAATGTACGAGAGTCCAGGACTTCATATCAGTGTGACTTTGCTTCAAAGTGAACTGATACGGTCTGAGTTGTTAGTCATTTGTCCTGAACCGACGTCCAAAGTGGATAGTTTCAGTTCTCCGTTAGTCTTTGTTGTCTACCACTGACACCGAAGCTCGCAGCCTTACCCGGCTCCGACCCTGCTCCATTCCTCTTTTCCTATTTCGAAACACTCTGACTACCGGATCTCAAGATGAATGAGGTACAACTCCATTGGCAGAGGTCAAGACCTCAGTCACCGCTCGGCAAGCATATATTCTGGTCATTCATAAGTAAGGATCCGACTCTGACTTTATTTATAACCCCCACTATCGCCTACTCCGCCTCTAGTCACTCATTAACGCTACTTCCTTCAAGTTTCTCGAGTCTCCGTCCAGGGAGTCGTGCCGTATGGTATGGTTCGGCAACAAGCATTGTGGTCTATGTTTCTGTCTAAGGAACGCTGGTCTTCGACAATATGGCCAAAGTCGATCCCACATTCGAACTCGATCCTACATTCAAACTCGGTCCCATGGCCAACCTTTATTCCAAGGCCACAAACTGGATTCTATGGCCAGACTCGATCCCATCACATTCTATAGTACTGCGGCCTGCCAAATTCGATCTTATACCACCGAGCCCGATCCTATAACGCTGTACTTTATTCGAGTCCGTGATGCCTGGTGCGAATCCCCGCTTATGGACCACTATGTCTTGCTTTCGTTGGACTTCAAGACGCTCACAATATCTGTCGTGGTTACCCGCTGTCTGTTATTGTCAAATTCTTGCAGGTGGTGTTGACAATGAGATTGGGGTAGAGCACGTGTATTGTACCAAGCATTTTTGTATAACTCGCATACCATCCAATATGATTTCCTGGCCAATCAAGTATAAAACCCATAATATCATAATACCAGTATTTGAAGCAATTGTCTGTATGATGGTACAGATGGCAAGAATTTATATTTTTGTTACTTATTGGACAGGAGAGCCACTGTGCTAGAAATTCTACATGAGAAACACTTCGTTGAACATGTTTCATCACTTCAAAACAGTACTAGTATTTGTCACTACACGATTCATGACAATCATTGGTCATAGGGGATAGCGTTCTAAACACTTATATGCCTATATATCTCGCACTGTCATATTTTAGCCGAATATAGTTATTATCTACATGATAATGTGTATATAATGGTTTGTGGGGAACGGTGGGATTTAGTGATGGGCCTTAGCTTATCATGAATGCATGACGTCCCACCGTTGACAAGTCAATCAGGACTCCCTAAGTCTCCCTTGTGTTTCATGTCAGCCGTGAC